AGAAGCTTAATATTACTGATCGTATATTAGCGATTATATCAGATAACGCGTTAAATAATACAACTTTAGTATAGGCAGTTTAAGACTCTATTGACTCCCTTAAACTACCGAATAGCCCGGTGGTTATTCGAATCCCTTATCTTATATATATTATCCAGCTAAGCCTTCGCGAGCTACTTAGATCGGTGAAGGCCGATCCCTAGAACGATACTACAGATCGGAATATTTCAGATATCCAAGCCTAAGCCTAAGCTCGATCGCTCTGTGCTTTATAGAGTGAATAAGTTATTATACAAACCCTTATTAAGGTAAGTGTATCGCTTTATTTATCACTTAATATATCTAATAACTATCTAGATTCGAGGGCTTACTGTATTTATTAATATAAGCCCCTAACGTCGCGATAATTTCTTCTGTCTCTAGACTAATAGAGCAAAACTTACACCTATCTAAGATATCTGTACCCGCTGGAATTCTACCTTCTTAATACTTCGTTGTATAAAACGCCTCAGTAAGCCCTACGATAAATACTATAATAATATTGGGACTTAGAAATATAAACTCAGTAAGGTAGAATAGCGGTAGGTCGACTACCTCCTATATATCACAGAGCCGTTCTATCGCTTTACTACAGTGCTTTCAAAGACCAAAGAGATAACAGTATATTATATTTTTAGTATTTATAACGCCCTCTTTAAGTACTTCGAGGAATCGATTGTATAACTCACTCCGAAAACTATACCTTAGAAGAAGGCGATACTATAAGCCCTTAATACTAGGATAGTAAAGCTTACCTCTTACTATACAAAGACGAAAGAGATCTATAGTAGTCTCTACGCGATTAGAACAATTCTTGTACCCCAGTATAAGCTTCACTTCTTCTTAAGTAAGGCGTAGGGTATATCGGAGAACAATATAAACTGGAGTAATCAGTATAAGGAAACGCTTCGCTAGTTTATAGCTCCTTACGCCTAAAGATACACTCAGACACGGTCCCTACGAGAAGAGTAACCCCCTAAGCGTCACTCAGCCAGTATAAGTGACCTAGACACCCTCCTTAACCTTCTGCCTTATATCCACTCTAATCTATTAACGTCGGAGTACGAACTTACTAGATACCTTAAAAAGCGTATATTATATTCACTGTTATTACGAGCGGGAATACTAATACCTATAATAGCAAGGAGAAAGGTCGATCCTTTACAATTCTAGAAGGAATATAAGAATAAATTCCTAATTCTTTCTAGTGTTACTCGCGATATTCTCTCTATTCCTACAATAGGCGCTGGAGTTAAACGTCTTTTTAATTCAGCACAGGATATCTACCACTACCGACGTAGGCGGCTAAGTGCGAAGATAGTCTAGGATATTATAATATTCCGGTGTAAAACCCAGTTCGATATTAAAATAGAAGAACTACCCGATAAGGATACGTCCTTAGATTCAATATAAGAAGCAGACGAACAGAGAGAGGCTGAGCTTACCACTGATATACCTAAACCAATTAGCGATAGTGAGGATTCCGAGGATAATAATCCTGTTGGACTGATCGAGTATAAGTTTATAATAGAGAGTCAGCTTCCTCGTCCTTCTATAGTGCTAAGTACGCGGAAGCGACAGAGAAGTGAGCTAGTCGACAGTGAAGATAAGAGTAGTCCTTATCTCCCTTATTATAGAGATAAGGGTAGCACTCAAAAGCGCCCTAGTTTAAGAGAAGTAAGGAAGCGTAGCAAACCCAATAATAATCAATTTATATCGTATTAGTGTGAATATATAAATATAATAAATACCTAAGTTATTATACAAAGGCTTCTAAGGCTTATTTCTGACCCCGGTCAAAAAAGTGACAATATATCAAGTTGTTGTATAAAGGCTTTTAAAGCTTATTTCTGACCTCGGTTAGAAAATTGACAGTAGTATTAAGTTATTGTATATATAATCGAATTACTCAAAAATACAGAGAAAAAATGCACAAATAATACAGGTCACGAGGTTAAGAAATTCTGCTTACTAAAAAGGCCTATAGGCGCCCACGGTGTCTATAGATAATGGGCCCTAATAGTAGGGCCCGTCTATAGGCGTATAGATAGTGCCTATCGCCCGCTTATATAAGGCCCGTGGGCACTGCCCACCCGCCTGTCTATGGGCGATGTCGCAGTCTAGTCGCACTTGTATAAGCAGCGGATTCCCTACCTAAAATCCCCTCCGCGAAAACAATCAGACGCTGTCTTTAAAGCACTGTATAAGAGCGCCAGCAGAGTATACTACGGAGGCTACCTCCTAGTGCAAAACTCTCCGTTGCACTTAATTACTGGACCTCACCGTTCGTATAGGCCTTTATAGCAATTACTGGCTATTTTATTGACGAGGACTAGCAGTACCGTGAGATCCTTCTTAGATTCGAACCTCTCTACAGAACCCACTCTGGTGTAAACCTTAGTGTTGTACTTACGGATATTCTTAAGAGGTATAATATCAAACATAAGGTACTTACGATCACAACCGACAATACTTCGAACAATAAAATATTAGTCGAAAGTCTCCAGCAAGCAATACCAGAAGATACCACTATTGTTAGAGTTCTATATATTGCCTATATCCTCCAGCTATATCTCAATAAGTTACTTGGATATATAAAAGCGAGCCCAGTGAATAAGTTAACAGAGACTCGGTGGACAGAACAGCGGTCTCAGTCCGCCCGAACGAACGCGAGGCAGTATAAGCGAGAGATTGTTAACACTTTAAGCAAGGTCAGTTATATCTAATTTTATAATATTAATACCGTTTCTTATACCTTACTAACTATTTCACTAGGTTCGAAACCTCGCTATATACGTAAATATAAGCCCCCAGCGACGGGATATATTTTACGCCCTTCAGACTGAATCAGCTAAACTCGCGCCAATATAAGATATCAAAACGCGATAGAACTCTACTTTTCTTATACTCCGGTGTATAAAGCGGCTTCGCCCTTATTTTACGCTATTTTGTGATAAGTATAAGCGATCGGACCTTACGTTAGATAACGATAAATAGCGATAGATCGAGTACCTTCTTTGGATCACCCAGCCTTTCTTTAAATTCACCCTTAAACTATCAAAGATAAAGGATACCACTATCTATTATATATTTAAGATCTACAATAAGCTCTTCGAGCACCTTAAGCAATCTATTACACAGCTCCGACGTAAAAGGGTCCCTTAGAAAACAAATATACTACAGGCTCTTAAAGCTGCACAGTAGAAACTTAAGGACTATTACGCCGAAACAGATAATATCCGAGGTAATCTTTATACAATTGGAACTATACTTACTCCTACCAATAAGCTTCGGTTCTTTTAAACCGATAAATAGGAAGAGCAATAGGCTCAGAGGTATCGACGTAGCTTTTAAGACTACCTTATACTATATAAGACACGTCTTAGAAGTATACAGACGTCTCTACCGTCCTAGTCTTCGAAAAGGTCAGGGTCTCGCCTCGATATAATACTCGGAAGTCAGTAACCTAATAACCTATCGCGTGATAAGCTCTCACAATATCTTAAAAGTGGTATATATAAAGTGTGACCACTAGAATTATAAAATATAGTACTAATATATAATAGATACTATTAATATATCCCCCCTTCTGTTCTAGAAGGATAACTAATATCGATTCCCAGCTCTTATAAGCCTAGCCCGAGATATACTTTCGATTCCAGTAACCGGGGCGGGCGTCGAAAGGCTGTTCAACTCTGCTCGGGATATCTGTCACTACCGCCGAGGTAGACTTAACACCGACACTATTCAGGATCTTATAATATATCTTTGTACGTCGAGGTTTAACTTCGAAGAAGCCGAGTATACGTTTCTAAAGGAATTCTTCTCTCGCGATAAGGTCGAGACAGCCAACGAAGAGCAGAATAATAGTCTTTATATATACGAGTTTAATCCGATTAGCGATAACGAGGAAGATAGGATAATAGTAGAGATCAGTAATAGAAGGGAGGACGAGCAGCCTACTCTATTAACTAGTAACGAGGATCACGTTCCAGAGTGTGATATCCCACTACCTATACCTAAGGAAGGGAATACTTAGGTACGTAGATTTATTAGATCCCGGAAACGTACAAGGCAGGATAACGATAAATAGGAATACTATTAGCTTTAAATTGATAACTGTGTTATTTACAATCTAAGTATATATAGGAAATATAGTATAATAGTAGCAGTCGAAGAAGGTTTTAGGCACTATTTCTGACCGCGGTCAGAAATAGTATAGGCTAAAGTGGCTTTTTACGTATAAGTAATTTCTGATAGCCGTTAGAAATAGTAGTGGTGTATTAGAATTAGAGCGGGCTGTAGGAGCTTTTACCCCCTTAAGGTGAAAAGGAAATACAATAAGATACAGGTAAGAAATACATAATTTATGTAGATACGACTCTTCCTATATTTGCACTGTTTAGTAACCCGCATAGGTAACCTGCAAACCCGCGCGGGTTACCCAAGCAAACCCGAAACCCATTGCGGGTTATAAAAGTCGACCCGAAACCCGACCCATTTGCGGGTTGGGTTTTTTCGGGTTTGCGGGTTTGCGGGTTTTGGCGCAGTCTAAACCCTACCACACGCCGGCGAGGGTAATAATAACAAGAACAACGAACTAAGACTTCCCTTCCCACTGGAACAGGGTAATAAGGCTCACCAACACGAGGTTAAGCCTAACTTGATACGACTAGACTAGATAACTGCTAGCACGGGATGAATGAATAAAAGAAGGTTTTTTCATATTAGACTGCAGCTACGGGGCTAGAGTAATATACTCCAGATTCTGCTGCGAAAATCCGCCGGAGCGGATCAACATAGCTCCCGAGCCTCCTGCTCGGGACAATGGAAGCCCAATGCCGAGTTTTGCTTCCGGGAGGTATATGTGTATATGACTATATTATATATAGGTGCTTGTATTTAATCCTTGATTTGGATATCTCTTTGGATTTTCAAGTTCCGTTTATATTATATCCAAAATGCCAACAATTTACCATTCCCCTTATCCAGATATGGAGATCAAATCGGTTGATTTGGTCTCCTATCTGTTCTCAAACCCTCTCAACACACCTCTGGATCGGCCTATGTACATTAATGCTATCTCAGGAGAGCAATATACCCTTGGAGATGTGATTCAACGTACACGCTCTCTGTCCAACGGACTCCGACAAAGTATAGGACTTAAGCCCAACGATGTCGTGGCATTGTTCAGTCCCAATACAATCGATTACCCTGTGGTATGCCATGCAATTGTCGGATCCAGAGCTATTGTTGCTCCGACCAGTGCGGCCTTGACGGCACTTGAGCTTAATGCTCAGCTCAAGACTAGCGGAGCCAGATTCATCTTCGTCCATTCATCTTTGCTACAGACTGCCCAGAAGGCAGCTAAGGGGACACCCATCGAGAAGATTATCTTGATAGATGGTCAAACGCCAGTCAATGGGGAACTCACATGCAATCATCTCGCTAGCACATTTGCCCCCGCTGATTTCCTCGCTATCGATCCGTCCGAGGCAGCTAGCCAACCCACATTCATCTGCTTTTCATCCGGAACTTCAGGGGCAGCCAAGGGTGTCGTTACAACACATCAGAACCTCACCTCAAACCTTCAGCAATGGCGCCACCAACTAGACACCGGTCTTCCCTCCCAGCGACCAGCAAGAAAATCCGCCATTGCATTCCTGCCCTTCAGCCATATCTATGGCCTCAACCTATTCATGTGCCAATGTCTGATTTGGGGCACGACAGTGATCATCCTGCCAAGGTTCGAGCTCGATTTATACCTCAGCTGCATCCAGAAATACCGACCAGACGAGTTGTCGTTGGTACCACCCATTGCTCTGATGTTGGTTAAAGACCCACGGGTCGCCAAATACGACCTCAGCAGCGTACGCACAATAATGTCTGCCGCTGCACCGCTTACAGTCGAATTATCGTCCGCCCTCGAAGCCAAGTTGACAAAAATTTCCAAGACACAGGTATACTGTACCCAGTCATGGGGTCTGACAGAGACCTCGCCAATGGCGACTGTCGTCCCAAATGACCGTATGGATAAGCGGAACGCGGGTGTGGGCTGTATTGTGCCCAACATGCAGCTCCGCTTTGTGGATCCCGAGTCGATGAAAGACGCAGCCGTCACATCTGATGGATCCACAGAGCCTGCGGAGATCTGGTGCCGTGGTCCAAACGTGGTGGGGGGCTATTACAATAACGACGACGCGACGAAGGAGGCATTCCACGTGGACGAGGAAGGAACGAGGTGGTTCCGAACCGGCGATATCGGTATTATCGATAGAGATGGGTATGTCACCATCCAGGATCGCATCAAAGAGATGATCAAGTACAAGGGACTGCAGGTCATCCCTAGCGAGCTGGAGGGAAAGCTGGTCGATCACCCCGACGTGGAGGATGCGGCTGTGACTGGGGTGTGGGTGGAGGACAAGGCCACTGAGCTGCCAGTTGGATTTGTGGTTTTGAGTCCCCAGGCCAAGGACAGGGATCAGAAAGCTATTCTTGATGGGATCCATGCTTGGCTGAATGAGCGTGTTGCCAACCACAAGCGTCTGCGTGGGGGCATTCAGGTCTTATCGCAAATTCCCAAGTCGCCGAGCGGGAAAATTTTGCGTAGACAGTTGAGGGATCTGCTGAAGAGTCAAGTGCCCAAGGCTCGTCTGTGATTGAGAGTTTAGCATTCTCTGCTTATAGCCTGTACCCGTATAGATCGTGAAGTAGCAATTCAAACCGTCGAATTAGAAACTCTGGCTTATTTCTGCGTATTCCAAATATCGTGTCACTTGACATATATACATGCTACATGCTGATACTAGATAGAATCAACCAATCTACTTCGTATCTCTAACAAGTAAAATATCTAAAACGCTAAAACGTGAAAAACTCGGGAGATTTCCCTGGAGCCCGCGGGTTCCGATCGGAGTTCAATTTAGGAACTTTATCAGGTACAATATAAGACTCAGAGACTCATTTCATTTTCTTGTTCTCTATAGAGTCAATTACCTTAAATCAAGCTCATTGCACATATCCTTTTGCATCGGTTCTTTAATTTGATTGTCTCAATTTGATTGCCTCATTTTCGCCTGGTGGAGTCGGACCAGCCGTATCCGTACACGGATTGCGATTCCTCCTCTCAGCCATATCTCTACTTGTCATGGGATCGTGGATGCGGCCCTTCTCACATGAGAAGGAGGAAAAAAGACCCAAGTTCGTCGAGTTAAGGTCGTCAAAATGGTTTATCATGTTCGTTGTTGCCTTTGCTGTCGGCACGGATATCTTCATGTACGGTCTTATCGTGCCGGTCACGCCAACTGCACTGAAAGATAAAGTGGGCATCCCAGAGAAGGATGTTCAAAGCTGGACATCAATTCTTCTCGCGCTGTACTCCGCTGCTTTGTTGGCCTTTGCGCCTGTTGTCGGGTACATCGCTGATCGAGCCGAGTCCCGCCGGTGGCCTTTGCTAGTTGGTCTCGTTGCACTGGCCGCTGCGACAGCCTTGCTGTGTGTCGGTAGTCATATCGGATTGTGGATTGCTGGTCGCTTGTTTCAAGGTGCTGCGGCTGCGGTGGTGTGGACAGCCGGCTTGGCACTGCTAGTGGACACTGTCGGGAAAGACGAGCTTGGCCAAGCTATTGGCTATGTATCCATGGCTATCAGTATTGGAACGTTAGCTGGACCTCTTCTTGGTGGAGTTGTCTATGAAAATGGTGGATATTACGCCGTTTATGGCCTTGCCTTCGCTTTCATCGCCCTCGATATCATCTTACGATTGGTTTTGATCGAAAGAAGACATGCTATCAAATGGCTTGTGCCGGAGATGACACCGTTCCCTGTGAATGGGCATCAATCCACGGAAAAGGAGTCTGGAGAAATCTCACATCCTATGTCGTCGACCAGTGGCTCTGAATCTCGTGAATCCCAAACGCCTTCTCCCACCTCACGGAGTGCATTCGGGCGTTTGGCCATTTTGTTGAGCTCACCCCGTCTTATCGTGTCCGTCTGGGGATATCTCATCCTGTCGATTATCATGAGCTCATTTGACAGCGTCCTTCCACTCTTCGTGCAACAGACATTCGGGTGGCAGCAAAGTGGCCAGGGACTAATCTTTATCCCGCTCATGGTACCACACATTCTAGACCCGTTGACGGGGTGGGTTATAGACAAGTACCCCAAATCCTGTCGCTATCTCACCACAGCGGCATTTCTCGCTCTCGTTCCCGTGTTGGTGCTTCTAAGATTTGTCACGCATAACTCGATTCAGCAGAAGGTTGTCCTATGTGCCCTCCTTGCGTGTGTTGGGCTATGCATTGCGGTGGCTATGCCGCCTATCGTTGTAGAGGTCTTCTTCGCTGTGAAGGAAAAGGAAGATAAAACTCCTGATATCTTCGGTCGCGGTGGCGCTATGGCCTCAGCTTTTGGGCTTTCAAATATGGGATTCGCGGCTGGGAGCCTGATCGGGCCATTCTTTGCGGGATTTATTCGCCAGGAGGCTGGCTGGGGGGCGATGGGATGGGCACTAGGGTTGATAGCTGGCGTATCATCCGTCCCAATCCTGTTGTTCATTGGTGGCTGGATCTTAAGAAAGCCGGTGAAATCCGAGAATGAAGTCCAAGTGACAGACAGTCCACCTGGCTCATGAGTTGAAAAGGGCCAACGAAGAAATCCATCATGTATAAATACTTCATGCCTTCTATACATACGTATATCTCAAATATGATAGCGTTATGGATAAAATTTACCTTGGGTGCCTGAATTGTCGGGTATATGTATCTATCTACAGAGTAGTTTTGCCATGTGGAAGATCACACTTTGTAAATATTTCCCGGTAGTAGAAATTAAAAAGAAAAGAATTCAATATTTCTCTACAATTCTTGAAATTATCCCTGGAAGTGCTCCCCACAAGTGTTCCCCGCAGCCCCACGAGCATGATCGTGCTAATATAGATTCGGGACTTGTTCGAAAGGACATCAGCCGTGATGGAGAGCCATGCCACCGCCAGGGTTACCAAAAATTGTCCGAGGTTCCCCAATCTGCTTTTGCCATCTATCCAATTCTAAAGCTCTGAGAGTTTACTATGGTGACCCCTGAAATTCAACACTCTGCCCTGAATGCCATATTCAAGGGCGTCCAGCGAGACGATCAAAATGTACCCGTTCATCAATTCCGTGGTATAAAATATGCCAGTGTGCCAGCACGGTTCGAAAAGGCCGAGCCTGTGCGTCGGTTTGATGGAGCCGTTGTTGATGCCTCAAAATACGGGTACGCTGCATTCACGCCACAAGACAGACACAGACACTTGAAATACAATTGAATTCATACACTGACATGTAATACAGTCCGAGATGCCCTCAACCGGATGTAGATGTCCGCCACCTCCTCCGTATTCCAGACGACTTCGTCATTGCCCCAGAAGCAGAGGACGAATTCGAATGTCTGAATCTAGAGATTACATGTCCCCCCATGTCTCCCACAGCAGGCTCGCTTCCTGTTCTTGTCTGGATACATGGCGGCTCTCAGATCGTCACATTCTGTTCTGCTGCCTCTAAGATTTGCGACCCGACCAAGATTGTTGCAGATTCTATCAAGGCAGGCAAACCTATCATCTTTGTGTCGATAAATTACCGCCTTAATATCTTCAGTTTTGGAGATGGTAAAGAAAAGAATTTGGCTCTGAAAGACCAGAGTCTCGGTATTGAGTGGGTGCGACAGAATATCGCTGGTTTCGGGGGTGATCCGGTAAGTCGTATACTCACCGTTTCCCGCAAATACGTATCTGTGCTCATTATGGGTAGGAAAATATCACTTTGTCGGGTGAAAGTGCTGGCGCTATCTATACCCATGCACATCTTATCACTGGTCCTCCTGTGAAAAGGGCCGTCATGGCATCTGGAACTCTCTATCTATCCTCGCCGCTACCAGTCGAAAAGGGCGAGGCCCTTATTAAAGGATTAGAGGCAAAGGTTCGGGAGCTTGGTCAAACTTCACTGCGCGAATCCTCCGTTACTGTGCTGGTTCAAGCACTGAGAGAGTGCAATGTGAATACAATGTGGATACAGGAGGAGCCTGAACTGGCTGGTTGGGAAACCAAACCCGAGCAGGTTGAGGAAGTGATGATTGGCGATGTTGAGTACGAGGTAAGTAAAGCCTTATCTGTACCTGGTCTGGAACACCATTAATCTGTGCTTTAGTCTGTTATTTGGCGGAACGGCGTCGAGCTCCTCGACGGAGAGACTATCTCGGCTTCATTCGACAATGATAAGAAATGGGGCGCCCAGCTTCGAAAAATGTATCAGGTTGTCGGTGATCGCCCGACTGCTGCGAAGCTGGGAGCTCTCGATCTTGTCAATGATATTCGATATACTCTTCCCGTCGAGGTCATCACCGACAAATTACGCCTAGCCAACAAGCGTGTTTTCCGATATGTGATAGACCAGTCCAATCCTTGGCAACCTTCAAGTCGTGCACACCATGCCGTTGATCTACTATTTCTCTTCGACGGCGTTGATCTATCGTTCAATCCTGCAGCTAGCGCGGTTGGAAAGGAGATGCGGGAGCGTTGGGTTCGGTTTGTCAATGGTGATGGACCTTGGTCTGCCAACTTGAGATTTGCTTTTGGACCTCTGGGTGAGTGCAAGGAGATTGATGAGTCGCAGGTCGCTGCTCGTCGGAGACTTCAGCATTGCAAGATGCTTAAGGAGGCAGGAACTGGCGCATATATGCCTATTGTCTTTGCTTTGACTGCAGGGAGAATTAGTCTGTTAAATTAGTCCAAGATGATAGATTAATATAGATCTAATCAAGTGAACGCCTAAATGAACTCCTGTCAGAATCATAATTTCACTAGCGTAGTTGTCTAGATTGCCAAGCTTGACCAGTTACCTCAATGGACCAACATCAATTCCTAACGCAAATTAATAATTCAACGACTTCACCTGTCCAGGTGACTTCAAGATTTCTAACATTTCGGCAGTTGATCCAACACGTTAATCCCGTCCAGATTCCACCAAAATAACCCTCACCTCCTAGCTTCTCCACACAGGCGGAGCCTCCACCGTTACTCAGCTTTGACTCATGTGGGGTCGCCTGGCGCCCATGAAACCAACCTACCTCCTCACATGAGAATGATGCTTTCTCCGCCATTCACTGCGTGAATCCGGTCCATCCGGGAGTTCGGCAAGTCGCTTGACCCCAACTTTGCCGATTTCCAGGGATAAAATTCACTCTGGGGTATCCAAGCGCCAACATCGCGTGTCCGCCTGATCCATTGTGGCCATGACGCAGCTTTCCGAGACACATCCGTGCTGTATAGTTCTCCCTGGGTGGTCGGATTCAATGGATCGATTTTCTGGGAATCTTGAATTGTGGTATTTCAATTTTGACTTGACCCCACAGGTCATGGTCTGATCGTTGACTGTGAAGTATATAGAGGTCTTGTTTCCCCTGGGTTTACTTGAAGAAGACGAATAAAGCAATCATTACTCTTCCTAGTCTGTTGATCCTAGGATTTCTAGCCATTTCATTACCATGCCTTCTACTGATTCCTTGTCGGACCCCAAGGAGTATCAAAAGATATTCCACTGGGCTGAGACCCAAAAGGATGGAACTATCCCTTCCTTCAGCACAAGACGTAATGATCCTTATGAGGTATGTTGCTTTATGGTATCTCCCAAACTATTAGGCCTCTCATTGACTCTTCTATAGTATCAATCTGGCTTTGGCAATGCGTACGTATAGTTGCATAACCTCCATCTCTATGATTAGCGATTTAAGATACTAATTTAGTACCTCTTGAACAGCTTCGCATCTGAAGCAATCCCTGGAACTATTCCACATGGCCAAAACAGCCCTCGCAATGTGAGGTTCGGTCTGTACGCCGAGCAGATCACAGCCACTGCTTTTGTCGCTCCACGACACTGCAATAACAAGGCGTGGCTATACCGTGTTCGCCCTGCTGTCGCTCACCAGGGATTTGTAAGTACTCTTCTTCTTGATTTTAGGTATCAGCACTGACATCTCTTGCAGACCGAACTCCCAGATAACAAAGACACTGAGGCAAACTTCCTGCCCCTGAACCCTCGCATCCATGTGTCCCCTACCCAGCTAGCATGGCACCCCTTTGATATCCCTGAAGGTGAAGAAGTCGACTTCGTTTCAGGACTGAAAACTGTCGCCGGCTCGGGTGATCCCACACTGCGCGAAGGCTTGGCTACACATGTCTACGTCGCCAACTCAAGCATGAAGAAGAAGGCATTCGTTAACTCCGATGGTGAATTCCTCATTGTTCCTCAGCAGGGAGCACTAGATATTCAGACTGAATTCGGTCCTATCTTTGTGCAGCCGGGTGAGATTGTTATTATTCAGCGTGGTATCCGCTTCAGCGTCAATCTTCCAGACGGTCCCTCGCGTGGATACATCCTCGAGGTCTGGGGTACACAATTTGAGCTTCCTGAGCTGGGGCCGCTTGGTGCTAACGGCCTTGCAAATGCGAGGGACTTTTTGACCCCTATTGCTCAGTATGAGGTGGTTCAAGAGCCCTGGGAAATTGTTTACAAGCTTGGCGGCAAGTTCTTTAAGAGCACTCAGAACCACAGCCCATATGATGTTGTAGCTTGGCATGGAAACTATGTGAGTTTGTCTCATTCTTATAGCATCAGATCTCGGTCAACTAATTTCGGTTTAGGTCCCCTATAAATACGACTTGACCAAGTTTGTCAACGTCGGCTCCGTCTCTGTTGACCACATCGATCCGTCTATCTTCTGTGTCCTCACAGCTAAATCCCGCGACCTCACCGCACCATTGGCCGATTTCCTCACCTTCTCTCCTCGGTGGGATGTTGCCTCACGTATGTCTGGTCAACTTATTGATTTATGAACATTGCTAACAATAACAAAGACACATATCGCCCTCCCTATTACCACCGTAACGCTGCATCCGAACTAATGGGTCTAATCTACGGCGATTATGGTGGCCGCTCGGATGAATTCAAGCCGGGTAGTGTGTCATTCGAATGTGGCAGTATGATCGCCCTGGAAATTTCCCGTCGAATAAGAGCCAATGCTGATGTTTTATAGTGGTCCCCCATGGCGTTGCCTACGAAGAGTTTAAGGAAGCTACTGTTAATACGCCACCAGTGATGCAGATATCCGAGGCATCGATTGCATTCATGTTCGAGTCTTGCCGCCCCTTCACAATTACCGATTATGCATGGAACAGCGATAAGAAGCACGAACATGAGCCTAAAATGTGGGATAGCTTGGTGGACAATTTCTCGAAGCACGCCAAGGAGATTGAAGTAACTTTGGCTAAGGCCAAGAAATAGTCTGGTTTGATACTTTCTACCATAGTGGTTTATTGTACATGTTCGAATATCTACTAGTTTTGTGCTGTTTGACCTGATTATTCAAAATTGAGCTGGATGAAGACCAACCGACCAGAGAGAATTACCCAGACAAATGTGTTATTGTGTAAGCCTATGATAAACCTCCAGGGCTCCCATCACCAAAACGGTTTCTGTGGGACTTGGAGCACCCCAGGACGATGATTGAGTGATCCTTATTAGTATGAACAATATAGTTGAAAGATCTTGCTTCAAATTTCTATGGTGATGTGAATGTTGTTCATGAGTAGTTAGTTTTAAGATTATATAGAAGTCCCTTCATATTTCCTACTATTTGCATTAGAGAATTTCCTTTAGACATATTCATTGAGTCGTCATAAAGACCAGTAGTACAGGTTTGAATGAGCACAGCATATGCCAGGGGAATAACGGGTATGTAGTGTGAGGGTTGCACAACATCTATAAACTGCAGCGAACATCGATCTAGGAAATCTATTACGGTTATCCCGTTTTACTTCAGGCTCATGTATAAGAATGATGACGAAAAACTGCAGGCCTCCCACTCAAAACTGTCAATAACGCAGTGCTTTACTCTTTCCAAACCAATACCGGCTTAACAAAATCCCCACATTTTAAGCTGGCCATTGCCTTTGGGTATTCGAAAGCCTGCTCAATCCGGTTAGTTGATTATTTCATGGATAGGTTTCATCAGGATCACAGACGTCAAAATACTGCACAAGTCGATCGATAGGGAAGATTCCTTCGCGATACCACTGAATCATTTGCGGGATACTCTGGAGCTAGGGTTAGTGAACATCCGAACGTGAGGGTGGCATATACATACAACACGAGGATCACAGTCTCCTTCGATACATCCAAGGATGGATCGACCTGACTGTATCGCCAGAACAGACTAAGTCAGTAAACGATACATCGCACTGGACCAGGTAATAATAACATACATTTAGATGTTCTGTAGCATTGAAGCTTAATTTATAGTCAAACGGCGGCGCGCCTATCAAGACCATCTTTCCTCGAAATTTTGTAGATTGGATACTCTGCTCTATGATAGCAGGGATGCCAGTAGTGTCTACCGCAATAGAAGCACCAGTGGGTATCAGGCTTCGAACAGCGACGTCCAGCGTGGAAAAGTCAGCAGCGCTCGTGTCGATCGTATGAGTCGCGCCCAGCTCTTTGGCTAGCTCGAGACGGGACTGGATTCGATCCACTACAATAATCGCTTTGCATTTCGTGATCTTCGCTGTCTTTACATATTTTGTCATCAGTCATATTCGAGTGTTTCTTGAGAGATACTAAAACTCACCATAAGAGCACCCATTCCCACTGCGCCCAATCCCGCGATCATAACAATGTCGTCCGGGCCGGCTTGGGTTATATTTGTGATCGCACCCATCCCAGTTTGAAATCCGCAACCAAGTGGAGCAAACAGCTTTAGCTCGCTGAGATCCTGAATGAGATCCTTGACATTAACCACGCAAGATTTGCTGGCGACACTGTACTGCGCAAAGCTAGACTGACCAAAGAAATGTGACCAAATCCTTTCGTCTCCGGTCTTCATGGATTCTTGCTGACCAAAATAGTTCTTGGGAACAAAAGTATCGCAATACGATGGGTGGGAAGCTTCACACTGCTCGCAAGTAGAGCAAGAATCGAAAGACAAAAGGATTGGATCTCCAACTTCCACAGAGTGGACATTTTTCCCCACAGCGCGAGCAACACCGGCGCCTGTTGAAAATCTTAATTATAACAGTTCCTTCAATCGTAGATTGTAAGAGTACATACCTTCGTGTCCAACCACCTTGGGATACTGAACACCAATTGCTCCAGGTGGGACCGATGAGAGGAGGACGTCTGTATGGCAGATCCCTGCAGCATACAGCTCCACTAGTACCTCGTCATCGCCTGGTTCACCGATCTGCACTTCCTCGAGCGACCAATTAGGTGTTGCAAGCTGGACTGGCTCCCGTGCTACAATTGCTTGGCTGTTCAATTTCGTGATCGTCATGTTTGTGTTTGTGTTGTTTGATATGAATATTTTAGCTTTCGATGCAATACCCTCTGTTTGGTCTAACTGTTAGATATCGCCGCAATCTACCCCGCGGATGTAGAAATATTGTGCTACTTGTGACCTTAGCGTCCCTCGGCTACAAAATACATTGCACTAATGCGCACTACAACCTAGCATATCTCCCCAGCTTGAGACGACTTGATGTTAAGCATGTATATGCTTGTCACTCCTAGATGCTACTAGTTATACCTAGGTAGTTATGTTTTCATAGCTTTTAGGTTGAAACCTTCCAAGGTTGGAAAACTCCAGACCGGATAGAGCCGCATCCCGTATAGGCTTCGTTGAGGATATATACAACTACCTTCTCAAATTAGAGGAATCTGACCCTATAATTGTTTAGATTTCTTAGTCCTAAGACCCCTTCAATAATATCAAGTTAATCGGTGGTCGGCGCTTCGGAGTCCGCGTAAATCCGGAGCGCGAGAGCGTCCCGACACCGATAGGTCCAATTCACGTCAAATTGGGCTGGAGACGGGGGAATCATAGATTTGTCGGGTCAAATACAGCCCGATCTATACAGTCTTGCTTTGTTTTTTTCTTTTTCAAAGGAAAATATAGAAGCTCAAGTATGTATATAAGACTTGGGCACCATGTGTGCACCTTACGTTGGATAGAATAGACCACAACATACGTTTTCCCCTTCGATCGGACCTAGGCCCAGTCCAATAAAAACGAATCTTTGACAGAATCACATGCTTGATCGAAGCAAGCAAATATATATCTAAACAGATCAAAGTTCGTGTTCCAACCCTTTGCCCTACAGTCAAATCATCTAACAAGCCCTAAGAAAATGGGGGGACCCTATATGCCTAGAACTGCCTCACTTGGGGGTCGACCAACAATTTCCCTCGATGTCCCAATATGCTCCGTCTTCCTCGCTCTTTTCATCACTGGCGCTGCCTGTCATATGACCCTGTTCCGTCGCAACCTCGCAAGGGGCCACAAGTTCGTTCCATCGGCCGCAACGTTCGGTTTCTGTATGTCGCGTATTATCGCAAATATCATTCGCATCGCCTGGGCCTGTTACCCGACAAATGTTAGAATCGCGATTGCAGCACAAATATTCGTCGCAGCGGGCGTGTTGGTGCTTTTCATCTTGAATCTACTATACGCACAGCGTATGGTCCGAGTTGTCTACCCAGTGCTGGGATGGTCCCGACCAGTATCATGGGCGTTCAAAGTACTGTATGCTCTTGTTGTGGTGACCATCATCATGGTCATCACTTGTGTTATTCAGACTTCATATACTCTCAACTCAAACACCCTTCGCATCGATCGCGACATCATGATCTATGGTCAGACCTACTTCTCCATCGTCTCGTTCATACCACTTCCTCTTGTCTTCTTTGTCCTTCTTTCTCCAAACAGAAAGCAAATTGAACAAGTTGGTTCGGGTAGCTGGGTCGTCAAAATATTCCTGGTCGGACTGGTCAGCGCATTGCTCTGCCTCGGCGCGTCTTTCCGTGCCGCTACCTCATGGATGCCACCTCGCCCTATCACGAACCCAGCCTGGTATCACAGCAAGGCTTGCTTCTATATCTTCAACTTTACTATTGATATTGTGGTTGTAGCGATCTTCTTCGTGGGTCGTGTTGACCAGCGATTCTGGATTCCGAATGGAAGCTCGAAAGTGCGTCACTACAGACGAGATGAGAGTAGTGAGAAAAACGTGCAAGCCACGCAGGATCTCGAGAGTATCAGCGTGTCTGAGGACATGACTGAAGAAACAAAGTAACCTGAGAGAACTCCATTCGAGCTGCCAGGGTGTGCTAATTTAATAGATAGAGCAATATCGTATGTATAGAATATGGTTAATGTCGGACAATCAATGAAGCCATGAATAGACTATTATATAAACTGGATGGTGGTGCAATGTATCTGAACTAGTAATATAACATCATCCCTCACACCAACACTAACCGGATCTTTATTAAGGACCATCATTACCACCTTCACAATGTGGGAAGAAACTGCAAAGCCGTATCACGATGGCCTGGCAATATTATGTGGTCTAAATTCGACAAGGTCAGATCCCTACAAAAAGATAGAACTTTCTTCGTTGGGCAGTCTCGATGTAGTTGTCACGGTTCTTCCAATAAAAAAAAGGTAAAGTAGAGGTTTATGGGGGCCTTGATCTCCGTCTTAAGCAAGGCTGTTCTCATCTGTTCCTAGTTGGAGGGGTTTTTTTTAGTGGCCATTTAAGCTCAATCATAGTGATCTGGCAGTGCAGTATATTTCGGCAAGACTGTTGTCAATTTACCCTCCATTCGATGTAGGAAAGTCTGGCGGAAGGCTCTGCTTGGGGGTCACCGTTTTTAGCATTCTTGGCTTAAATGACTTCACAGATACAGTCGTATCTATTTCCACACATTGTGTATTCCCATGGACAGTCGCCGCGACGACTAAAGCATGGTTGGTGACCATGACGCATACCGCCATGTGTTCGTGAACCAGAAGAGCCGCTTTCCCATGTTGATATGGCACTCATTTGAGGCGCAGACATCGACCAGAATCTTGTTCTCTTATTCAAGACGACCCATGGACGGCTGTTTGATACTGCAGCGAGTTTTAACCGGCTGATGATACTGGCCAGTAGTTTGGGGAACTGGGATTTTAGAGAACAGACTTGATTCTTGAGGACAAGCCGAGCGCCGGGAAATCCTAAGCAATGATGAGACGTCTAATAAAGCTGCAGGCAGCGCCCAACGGTATGCCAGTTATTCAAAGAGAATGATATAAAATTTCAGCCTTCCATGCGTATATCTCAGCTCTTAGTGATACCAACGAGAGCTCTGGTATCTCAATTAACCAGAAAAGGTATCCACCCGCAAATCCGGAATATACTCGGGCTGCCCCTAGGGTATTCCTATAGTCTCGTGGAACTGGGTCTTGCAAATGGTCTTTTATTTTCATGATTGGTATCAACAAGTGGCCAGGCATCGAACCATACAGAATTAAGTAGGCGAGAGCCCTGTTCGATTGCAACTCCCATTCACCGCCAGTCCAATTGCCTCTCGAAGGACAAAAATGAAATCTATCAAAGGAAATAGTCAGGTGTGCGCCTCGATACCATAGGTTCTCCCGCTCGGGGGCAAGGATCGAATTGTAGGCTGGATAATGTCAGTAGGATATCGAAGAAATGAGAAACTGCAGGCTGTCCTCACAATGTGTATTTCAAATGCTCGTCAATCTCCATAATGGCGGCCTGGTTACCGCAGCGATAACAGTAATTTGGTGCTGTAGTCTGGTTAATCTTTTAGTCCATCCAGGTCGAGCGATGAAAAATATACCTGAGAAAATCGTGACCACGTTCCGATCCTGCGACCAATTATATCCTTCCATCACCAATTGATGGGCACGTGCCACAAGAGTCAAGCCGTTGTTGTGGTTGAAGGCTTCAGAAATGTCCTGTCCGAACGTGTATCCAGCACCTCGAGGAGAGATTCCCCATCCACATCGGTCATCTGGATCACTCCAGAGCAAGTCACACATAGGACCCTCGTGGGGAACTTCTTGGATGCGATCAAGCGACCGGATGTTGTCGAGAGTGTCAATGGACGGACTCAGTCCTCCGTGAAGACAGAAAATCTGGTTTTCAATGAGAGCAGTGAGGGGAAGGTAGTCGAAAAGGTCGGTGAAGTATTTCCACACGTTGGCATTGCCGTATTTGCGGAGACATTCGTCATAGAATCCGTAGACCTGTGTGATCTGTCGGGACTCGTGATTTCCACGGAGGATGGTAATACGCTGCGGATAACGGATCTTCAGCGAGACCAAAAGAGTCACCGTCTCAACTGAGTAGTAACCACGGTCGACGTAGTCACCTATATCAAGAAAAATTAAAAACGTTACCCCAAACCACGTTCATCCGACCGTTGTCCACTCACCCATGAAAAGGTAGTTTGTATCCGGGTTAGGACCCCCAATGCGGAAAAGCTCCATTAAGTCATGGAACTGTCCGTGTATGTCACCGCAGACTGTCACTGGGCATTTCTATCGGATAAGTCAGTTGGCTGGGCGGGCAGGGCAACAACCCGACCGAGAAATAACATACCACTGGCTGCACATTGGATTCCTCCTGCAATACCTCTCTTGCCTAAAGACGCAGAAATGATCAACTTGAACTCATTCTAATCAATCTGTCGACACAAGAAACCCACCCGATCGCACAGCCGCCGCACGTCTTCCTCCGCTAATTGCTTGCAAGTCATCAAACTCTCGATCCAGCCGTCCAAAGTCGGTATGGACCCCGGGTCGCTTGTTGGCGACAGGTGGTGTGGCTCGGGGGACCGCGCAGTATCGATTTCCATGTTGTTATCCATTGCGTCGGTATGCTCAGCTGGCTGAAAAGGAGGGGCCAGCTGGGGAGGGGCGGTCTCGTGAGAAAACAACGGAATTCGTGAACGGGCGCAGGTATCGTGGGGTTAGAAAATATGTGGGATAATTACGCTCCAGATGGAAATTCAATTAAAAACAACTTCCCAAGATTTGGCAAGGGATAAGGGGATGGGACTTTGGAACGCGAGAAAGGGAGAAGAGATGGGAGTTCGGGAAGGTCAAGTTGAGTGGTGAACAAGGCGCCACACTTCAGCCACACACCGCTTTCTCCAGGGCTGCCTACGTAATTATCAACTATGTACTGGAGTGGGCCATTATACAGGAACGACCACAGGGTTTATACTATCTTTACTATAAAGATAGTATGTGTTAGACATCTGAACATACAATAAAATAGGCGCTAGGAAGATGTTTTACACGATGCACCAAAAAATGGCATAGCGGAAAAGACGCCAAAAAGGGCCATTGAGATGTGGCTGTAGCCTCTTGTTATTCATCTTACTTTTGAAACGGACTCAGGTCATTTAGCAACAAAGGAGTTGCCTTCTTCTTCTTTATTTCAGTCTCATTTTCTCGTCATTCGTTAGATAATGTCCCCGCCAAATCCACCACCAAACCCACCAAAGCCGCCCCCACCTCGTCCATTTCCATTATTACCGAAGGGTCCTCGATTACGACCAACAGGTGGCTCACCTGGTCCTACTGGATCATATCTTGCACCGGGAGGTACACGGGGGTCATATCCACCATTACCAGCTCCTCCTCCGCCGAAGAGAGGGTCATCAAATGTAGGATGCATACCCCCGCCACCTGAACCAAAGCCAGGGCCCATAGGTCCGCGCAAAGGGTCATGGGGACCAAGCCCTGCCGGGTAGAGATCTCGTTCCCCGATGTTGTATGGGTTTCTGCCTCCAATTCCTCCTGGATATCCTGGGTATCCTCGCGGGGGCCGGTTGATCTCAAACTCATCTTCGAACCCGGGCGGAGCAAAGTCTGGTGGGTTGGATCGGCGGGGAGCTGCTGCCAAGGGATCATCGAATGGGCGTGGACGTGCAGGCTGGGGAAGGGAGCCATCCTGTAGAATATCCGGTTGTCTTTCTTCTTGTAGCCTTGCTCTGGGCGGCTGGGTTGGATCTTCATACCCCTCTTTGTACAAACCGGGTGCAAGTTTCTGGATGACATTGATTTTGAACAAACCCACCAAGTCGCCTAGTCGAGCTGGCGAGATAAAAACATCTCGCAGGGATGCGGTTATATTTGCTGAGGAAGATACAGGAAGCGCAGAGGTGGAGATGTAGTCTTTGGTGGGAATGTCGAACGAGCTAGTCCGGTCATCGCCCAAGGCTAGTGCAAATATGACTGCATTATTCCCCAGCCGACTCACTTTGAGTAGATATTGCATCGAAGACTGCGCATGTGCGTAGCGAAAGGCAAATGTATCGTTAGCGTTCCATTCTGCGGGGAGGGAAGGTGTATCTGTATATTTTTCTGGAGAAGTCAGTAAGAGTCCACTGATGGGATTGAAACAGAATTGACATACCTAAGTTGTGATCTTCACCGAGACCGACCAGTCTGAAGTCAACTGCTACCATGCATGCATGGCCGATCAGAGCCACAGCCTCATATGGTGTTGTGAGATTGGGCTGTCTGTCCCCTGCGGGCTGGATAGCTTTCACAGCAAGGTCGAGGATATTATCCTGGCGAAGAGCATCCGCTGGTGCCATTTTTGGCAAAATGCGTATATTTCAGATGTGCAGTACTAAACGACAGAGAATCTGAAATATCTTAAGAGATGGGGTGGTGATGCGGCTCGCTGATGCCCAAGGTGACCTCACCAGGAGCTAGCCGCTTTTGGAAGATGTGGCGTCGGCACAAAGATCGCCCGCTCCAGCTATCTGCCTGCCCCGCTTGCCTTTTCTATTTTTGGCCATGCCGAGGGTTGTACAGAGTAGTATGTACTCCGTACACAAAACATACATATGTACAAGCACTACTCCGTATTTGTTGATGAATAGAATATTTGATTGATAGATTCGCCCAAGAAGCTCGCCCTTTATAACATCGACTTCGGGAAATTCTTCATTGCCTGCCGCACTCCCAAATCTGCCAAAATCTCCTCGGTTCCACCCAAGATCGCATCGAACTTATATGTGCGATGGAACATCTCAATGACCTTGCCCATTCCTGACTGAGTGATACCACGACCACCAAAGATGTTCGTAGCGAGGCTGGCAATCTCACCTGCAGCTTGGGTACAGTGTGACTTGAGCAGTCCAATAGGTCCACCCAGATGCTTCGCTTGCTCGGCGTATGTCATGTTGCACATCTGGTAGGCGATAGACTCAAGCCATGCCTGGTTAGACTCGGCGAGGGAGATCATACGGGCAAGCCTGTTAGATGTCAGGAGAGAAATAACGGCGGGTAATGATTCAAGAGACTCACTTCTGACGAATAACTGGTTGTTCAATCAACTTCTTGCCAAAGACAATGCGCTGGTTGGACCATTTCATTGTCTCTTCGACAACCACCATGGACATGCGGGCAACTGCAGCCACCATCATAAAGCGTTCGTGGTTGAAATTACTCATGATAACGGCAAAACCCTTATGCTCCTCGCCCAGGAGATTCTGAACCGGAACCTTGACATTCTCAAATTGAACGAAAGCAGTAGCAGCAGCAGTCGAGTATGAGGTCTTGATCTGCTTGGTCTCCACACCCTCGCCGCGAGGAATCAAAAGCACTGTGAATCCCTTCTCGGTACGGCAACCAGTAACAAAGTAGTCGGCGAACATGCCGTTTGTGATCCATTTCCTAGACAATGTTAGCACAAATCTCTTAACTGAACCAGCAAATGTGGTCTAACTAACTTTGTTCCGTTGACAATATAGTGTTTCCCATCAGGGGTCTTCTCTGCGGTTGTCTTCAGACCCGCCACATCGCTACCAGCAAAGGCCTCTGTGATAGCCAAACACATCTTCTTCTGGCCCGACAAGACCTCCGCATTGAGGCGCTCTTTGAGTACAGGATCGTGCAGCCATTGCTGGACAGCTGTCAAACTAATAGCCATACCGGCCATATTGCCATCCTGGAAGCCTCTGGCATTGGCACGGACCAACTCCTGTACTACAATCATATCGTGGAGATAATCAAACTCCTTTCCGTCCACAACTCCACCGAGCAAGGTGCGGTTGTGCAGATGCTTTCCGGGGCCCAATCGCATAGCAAGAATATTTGTCTCGGCCATACGGTTGATTAGCTCTTGGCTGATGTAAGTGCCATCCTGCTCTTTCTCTTGTGCTTCGGGTGTCACATATTTATCTGTGAACTCCCGGACGGCCTTTTGCAGCCGTCGGTGGGTCTCCTTGTAGTAGGGAGACTTGAACTGGGGTCGCAGCCATAGGGGTTCGGCATAGGGCACGGGACTTAAAGCTCCAGGGACGGGCACAATGACCTCGGGCTTTTCGCCTTCGATCACACCAATGCAAAGCTGGTCACGGTATTTCTCCAGCACCTCCTGGCGGTGCAGGTTGTAGAAATCGGTTGTTGCATCCTGGCCAGCAACCTGAGCGAGTACAACGGCACCACCGGGATGGGCGTCGACAAAATCAGTCAAATCATAGACTTGGTGGTCGATGATACACCAAAGGGAATCCTCGGTGTTGTGCTTCGCGACCTCTGCACGCGTGAGAGTTTCTGATGGCATGTTTGGGTATGGAGAAAGGGGGGAAATAATGGGGGACTAGAAGTAAATACCCCAGACTATAAGTTGCCAATCATACCGCCGCTGATTCAAATTGAGCCGAGGCCCGAAAAACAGTGTGATGTCAGCATGGTGTTTCAGTTGGACCCAACAGTCTACAAAGTACCAACGAGGACCTCGGGAACTTCCGATTATTGATCGACCAACCGTATGATGTAGAATCAATGTTTTCGCCAATGACAGTATACAGAAAGGGCCTATATACTGGTCGTGAACGTGTGGTCGGATCGTGCATACTAACCTTGTTGCTAAAATATATCTCATAATTCAACGCGACCGTGTGGGCAGTTCTTAGGGATTACGAAGAACTCGATTGGGATAAATGGGGTGTATTCATCTATACATTTTGAGATATCATGCTCAAACTCCTCAATAATCCCCCTTTTAACGACCACGCTTGACATCTTTCATTGCCTCCTTCATTAACCACGCACATACAGGCTCCGCATCGCTTCCGACCCGCCAACTACCCAGCACAACGCCGTGTTGTTCAAGGACTTCGCTTGCACGATCCCAACGACGTCGCCAAAGCTCTTCGCGCTTATTTGGAAGGGGCGCAGGCGGCACGCCCGACTCGCCATTGGATTCTGCTCTCCCGAGTGAGAGGCTCGATTGAGATCCTGAGAAATTGAGTCGGTCGCTTGCATATTGGAACCCTTGGTATGCAGCCTGGGCGGCAGCCGCTGGGTATGATTGAATACCACTCGCAGGGGTCCGAGCCGGCGTAGTTGATGCACTGGAGGGATCTGAGCTGGTGGTCGAAGACCCGGTGGTTGTGCGACGTGGAGGAGGGCGAGGTGGCGGTGGCTTGGCGCGTGTAGCTTGCGGTTGAGTCTGAGAGCCCGCGAAACCATCATCGAGGCCTTTGAGCCACGAGGAAGGAATCTCATTCGTTGATGTCCCAGTGCTACTCTGAGAGATTGAAGGCGAGGGATCTACATCAATCAATGAATCTTTCTTGGGTACCCCACGTCTGGGTGGTACAGGCGGGACTGGTTTGCGCCTGGGTGCCTCTTGTATTGGCGCTGGTTTGGAGTCTTTTTCTGGCTCGTCAGAATGTGTAGCAACATTGCGCAGAGAGGATGGTCTGGAACTCTTGGCCAAATCAGCTGGAGTAGAAACCATGCGTAGTGCAGAAGGTTTGATTGGTTTCGCCGGGCGTGGCCGTGAAGTGGTGGGGTGGGTAAGCCCCGCTGGTGGTGGCTGATCGCCGATGATGAGATCTGTGAGATCAATCAAGTCCTCAAGGTCAAGATCGCTTGGATTTGGATCACGATGGCCTATGGGCACTGAAGAGTCGACAGCGGCCGTGCCACCTCGAGGTGGGAGCGTCGGTCTGTTGGAAACAGCGTCCGTGTGGTCCACCATATTTGGTGAACTGTGACTGCGTTTAGACTGGTCAAGATGGCCAACGGATTTGTCAAAGAACTTCTGGTTTTCCGAGGTTGTAACATCACGAATGAAGATTCCCAGGATCCGGCCAGGATTTGCCAAGACAATCTCAGTATAAACCTCCAGATCAGCTTCGCCGCTGTCACCGACAAGTATGAATTTTCGTTCTGGGAAGTCACGCAGAATTTGTTCTAATGATGCCCGTTTTCTCTCTGCGGTGGGCTCAAATATTCCTTGAAGCATGCCCGAGTACTGTTTGAGGTGGAAGGAGCCCGGAGGCAATCCCACCATCTTGAAGTATCTCTCAAGGAGAGGATACAATTGCCAGGGAGCATTCGACACATAGTGAATTTGCACACCCTGATCGGCCAGTTTGCAGTACCAGTCGCTGACTCCTTCCACTGTAAGTTCATCCAATTCACGGACAAAAGTATTGCGGAACATCTCTTTCGCTCCACTGGCAATGGCTGAGTGCTTTACTGTATCATCGATGTCACTGATCAAACTGATTCCAACCGGATCAATGACCTCAATTGGCTTTGCGACAGACAGGTCCTCAGATGCCAACACGCGAATATGAGTTGGTACAAATGGCAGTGTAGCGCGAAGAGTAAAGTGGCCTGATTCATCCGTCGTGATATTTCGAGACTTGCTCTCATTGTCGTCGAAGAAGAACACCGTCACTGGCATACTCCCAACAGGATTCGTCAAAAATGGACGAAGTCTTTCCATCAGATGGGCATTCGCTATAGACAATTCATCTTTACTCAATGGTGCACCATGATGTTGTTCTTGCTCGGCATGCGAGCCTTTCCAAGCCGGGTCTGCTTCCTTCTCAGCCGTGGCGACTAATGTTTGGACCTCCTTGTCGATGTATTCATCATGCCCCTTCCCAGGCACCTTACCGTCACTTTCATCATTTGTATTTCCACTTGGTGCAGAGATCCCGCTCAGCTTCCTGGCCAGGGCAATCATCAACCGGTGCTTTCGGCTCATCGGTCCCCGACTAGGAGAGTAAATCCAGCCACGCACATCAACAGCCACGACTGCATCTTCAGTCTCTGTTGCATCCCAATTAGGTGTAGCAGGTTCATCATCTTCGTGGGCAGCACCCCGATATTCATCAATAGTTTCTGACCACGAGTCACGCCGCGGACGTGTGCTGGTACTGGTGCTCTTCTTCCCTGTTAATTTCCTAGCATAACTGGGGAAGACCACCATCTCCTCGTCACCTGACCGTGCAATTTCCACATCCGGAAAGGCACCGGGGGTATTATAGTAGTCCTCATCGTGTTCATTCTTTTGTCCCGACCATTGTGAGGTATACGCCTGGCGTAGCTCATTTGCCGCTTTGAAATACTCGTAGACCTTTTTTCGGCGACTACCAGGGGCAGCAGCACCATCGCCATTACCTGGCCCCCATGTTGATGAAAGTCCGGATTGCGACATCAAGTCTATTGTTGTATCCTTCGGTCCGTGGCGGGGCTCGCGGTTCGACTTCGGGTGTCTTGCAGGTAGGCTGTTACCGGCTGCTACTGTAGATTTCCACGTCCTTGACCGTCGCCGGGTTCCGAGAAGATATTTCACAAGGCGTCCGCCAAGTCTGCTATCGCGTGTAGCGAGTCGCGCTTGTCGCTGGACAATCGCTTGATAGACCCGCGACTGAGCCCGGTGTCGGAGCGCGGGGAGGGTCTCGTGCCGAATGCCCCAGAGACGGGATTGGGCTCGCCTGGTTGCGTGTGCGCCAACTAACAGACGAAGTATATTTGAGAGTTTGCTGGGTCGAGGTTCGCGAGGGAAGGAAGGGGAAAGGATGGTAGGCGGACGTCTGGACAGAGAGGGCCTCGACCGGAGGATTGGCCAACGGAAGCGTGGTTTAGGCGCCAGGATCTCGTGTGGTATGATGTACGAGTAGGATAAAAGTATTCCGAATGAAAATGAAATGCCAAGTCGAGTAAGGCTGGGCTATGTAGAAAGTTGATTCGCTGCGGGGAAGAGATCGGCCATGACGATGATTATTCGGATGGTCTCACCGCGTTGCAACCGAAGATCCTGGCTAGGATATTATTACATTTGTGCACTTTTTTATAAATTTTATGTTCAATTAGCTTATCATTAAGTATAATCGTCTATAATATGATGAAACCTTCTATTCGGACATATCTATAATATGTTATGTAGAGAGCCATGCCTCTGCCTACATCTGAGGCCCATATGAAAGCAGGAAACAGATACACAAGTGCATTCAATGTTGACGAAATGCATTTTGGATCTATAATATAGCTGTGAACCCTCTTGTTAAAGATCCTGTGAAGGAAAAAGATCGTATACTAATATACAAGAACTACCAAGTGCCAATTATGCACTGTCCTCGGTGTAGTTCACTCTCTTCGCACGTGAACTTCGTCGCGAAAGTGATGTCGAAACTGGAGTACTGTCTAGTTCCACTGGAATCTCTTCAGACTCTGGAGTAGACTCAATATCTGAAGCCTTGCGCTTGTTGCGGGCCCTGGTCGACGGACGCATGCGTCTGACGGGCTTTTTTACTGGCGTTTCTATCTTGATAGGTATATCTAGGGGAGCATCGTCTGCCACAGACTCAATCTTACCCTTTTTCGAGGTGCTTTTCTTGGGACTTGGTGTAGCTCTAGGCTTCACAATTTTCTTTGCCGGTCGGAGCCATTCTTCCATACCCTCAGGCCAGTAGACTCTGCGATCCGGTCCACCCATTCCAACTTCTTCATCTGGGATGGTGCGAGGCGGTGGCATTGATCCTTCTAGGTCCACGAAGGCCCCGTTCTTCTTGGACTTTTTGGGTGGTTTGTGGGGTTGGTTTTCGTCAAGGCGCATGAAGGGTATCATGTCGTTCACAAGATTGTAGCCAGGGAGTTTGAAGTTTCTCATCAACTCAAATACGGCTTGTTCTTTATCCTTGGCCTCAATCATAAGATCCATGGTGGGCGAACAAGGGGGCAAAGTACTAACGCGGTCACTGTGTTTGCGCCGTTGGCGCAGGGTGATGGCAGGTGCAGTTTGTTCGGAATAATGCATCTTTTGGGTGATATTTTTCCGAGCCCATGTTGCTGATATACGCTCGTAGAGGGGTATAATGTCCTCGGTGCCTTCACGGACCTCATTGGCGTCAAAAATGATATTATGGTGGTGGTAGTCGAGGACAAGAGGGATATTGAGCTCCTCGCAAATAGGCAGTAGATCGTGAACGGACCAGCTAACGTCGTCATTCTCCAGAACCAATCTGTTTTTGATGTCCTGCGACAACATAGCGTAATTCTCTCGGAACCGATCTAGTGTCGCAGCCTTATCACCAAACACTCCGCCCATATGAAGGATCATGACCGCATCGCGGTCCAGCTGTGGGGGGAGTTTGAGTAGCCGGAGCATCTCCGAGTGATATTCGAGATCGCGAGTAGAATTCTCGATAACTTCTTTCCTGGGTGATCCGAGTTGGGTGAATTGGCCGGGGTGAACCGACACCCGGTGTCCGAGTTCTGCAACCACGCGTCCTACATCTGCCAGCTTATCTGAAGCGAACGGCGCCAGCTTATAGCCATATTCCTTGTGACTGGCAAATGGGAACATCTCACTGCTGAGTCGCATGAACTTGATGCCATACTTGTCATTCCAACGAATGATTTTGACCAAATCGCGTACATTCGCCAAGCCTAGTCCCTCCACGAAGGCTTGCCCGCGAGCAACATCGGCTGGTTGGTCGCGGTCTGGACGATTCTTAATCGGGTGTGTGGGCTGATCGGGGTCTTGAAGCGGGTGTCGATTTTCGATTATAGAGGCGATTCGACATGTTCGAGAACAGAATACGGAGGGTGTTGAATAGCGAAGATACGTATTTAGACACGCCTATTCAAATCAGAACCTGGGATCATCGGAGAGAGGGTCTATCATGCGCAGCACGGCGCAACTCACATATCCTAATCTGCCTTTCCAGGGAAGGGGAAGGTAGCTGCTGTTCACCGGGGGTGGTCGGCCGAGCGCCTCTTTCAGCTCTTCCGCCTCAACGGGGATGTCTTCGTCTGATTCCGGGTCCAATGCAGCCTCTGCCTGGTCAGCAGGTAAGGTTATATCTCCATTGAGGATATCTGCCGGCTTTGTCTCAGGTCCAGGCGTCTCAGTCGCCCTGACCATATCTTCTGGATCTAGATATCTTGGTCCTGGGCCAAGATCCTGCGAATACGCATGTGATGATGTAGATCCTAATATTTTTAAGGGATGTGTAACACTTTTAAACAGGAAGCGCAGGCAGTGTGCTGTATGACGAGCATTGTGGATTGGGGCGAACGATCTGGTTCTCGATGACGTATGTCGACTCTGTTGGCGTTGGGTAGCTTCCAAGGAATTGACATGGATAGACAGACCTTGCAGCAGCCGAGCAAAAGACCGACACATTCAGTGGAATTTCGGAGGTCAAGCAGTGTTGGGAGTTTAGAGAAGTTCGTAAGGGCGGAATATTCCATAACGCGCTAATGCGCTAATCAACGCGACTGACCGCGGTCCACCGACTGAACCTATCAACCTCGTGAACATCAAAACTACAATTTGATATAATCATATCTGTAATTTCTTCCGGAATTGCTGGACATTTAGTTCTACCTAATCTATGCTATATGTCTCCGGCCCCATATGGCAAACGTACCTCTGAGGATTGTACATCGACATACCGCCAACATCTTCATCGGTTGCATGAGGTAGAAGAACATTGAACTTCCCGAATGACAATATAGTACTTGTACTACCTATACTGTGCATATAACATTGTCTTTGTTTGTGAAACTAAATTGCAGCGATCGTACAACGATCCCTTCAGTCTGCAAGGGCTATGTGTAAGACATTGTAGTAGGCTACTTCGTACAACACATGTTGTACTTCGTACAAAAAGGCGAATCCACACTGTTTATAAATGTTTACACCGCTATACTGTAGTTATATTTACAATTTTCCCTAGGGAGAACCCTTTTTCTGGCGATTGATCTGCAGCGATGTACTCCGTACACATCCACAGCATACATTGCGAGTTTACAATCGACCACGGGCCAGATGGTACTACCGCCCCGGAGTAAAATATATTTCATAACGAATGCGGATTATATCGAATATCTGGCTTTTACCAACGAATACTGGTGCTTCAATTAATCGACCATACAAATAAGGGATTTTACCCCTTATTACGGTAGACTCACTATTCTTTGCATATAAAATTCACCAATTGGAGCTGAGCCAGCCAACTTCGACCATTCGACCAACTGGGTAATTACCTAGGTACCTAGTTAGTTAACTACATAGTTACCTAGGTAACCTTACCTAAGTGCCTCTCGTAAGTAGCTAGGTAGCCCTGGAGGTATCGAAGCCCCACCTCTTGTAGTCCACCTCTCAGAAGGTCGAAGGTATAACTCATTTTAAGATTGGAGACTAGCGAGCAAGGAGTGGGGAGGAGGCTATCTAGGTAGTCCGAGATGATTCAATTCTTGAATTGAAGGCAAATCAGGTGCAATGATTTCATTATCAAGATTCAAATATGAGAAGTATCGCATCTGTGTAACGGTATAGTCTTTAGGCAAGATTTGTGAGCACATATGTGTGCATGATGATCATCTAACGAATAATGGCGAGGAATAATGTGTACTAGAAAGGATAGTCCAAGATCGCTAGTATATTGGAACTATGGAATTAGAGGCAACTATACATGACAATGAGAAGCAGGGGTCTGCATCTCAACATCATCTACTGCGCACTCTGTACAGTGATCAAGATACTTGGGTTAGTACTTATAATCGATTATTGGCACTCTTGGATATTCCTTACTACCAACTCTTTTATATTGGAGAATAGTCATTCTACAGAGCAAAACCAACTGCCGCGATGACTTCCGACGCAATTGAGCCCAAGCTTGTTCCCCCAGAGCCCATCGCAATCTGTGGAATGTCAGTACGTCTCCCTGGAGGCCTGCACACACCTCAACAGCTGTGGGACTTCTTGATTGCCAAAGGAGATGCCCGTGGCCAAGTACCAAAGTCTAGATATAATGCCTCTGCATACTATTCCGACCCACAGAAACCGAGCAGCATCAAGACCGAATATGGGTACTTTCTAGATGAAAGCATTGACATTGCTTCAATGGATACATCTTTCTTTACAATGGGGAAATTGGAAGTGAGCCGGATGGACCCGCAGCAACGGCAGATGCTGGAAGTTGCTAGGGAGTGCATGGAAGATGCTGGCGAAACGAATTGGAAAGGACGGCCGATTGGGTGCTACATGGGTAGCTTTGGTGAAGATTGGCTTGAAATTTGTGTCAAAGAACCCCAGCAGTATGGCCAATATCGAGCTAGCGGACACGGAGATTTCATGCTGCCCAACCGAATCTCATACGAAATGGACCTGATGGGACCGAGGTTAGTTGATCCACATCTTTATCTTAGAGTAGAATGAAAAATGCTAAGTGGAGAAAAAATATAGCATGCTCATGCGTACTGGCTGCTCAGCAAGTCTCGTTGCACTGCACGAAGCATGCCTTGCAATCTCCAGGGGTGACTGCGAGGGAGCCATTGTTGGGGGTGCCAACTTGATAATGGCACCAGGCATGACAGCTGTCATGACCGAGCAAGGCGTGCTTTCACCTGATGGATCTTGTAAGACCTTCTCTGCCGATGCCAATGGCTATGCGCGAGGAGAGGCAATATCTGCCATCTTTATCAAACCACTGGTTGATGCCATCCGGGATAAAAATCCTGTTCGAGCGGTCATCCGTGCAACAGCATCCAACAGTGATGGAAGGGGTGTTGGAATCGGTAGCCATGTTCCGTACGATATTTCTCATGAGGCCATGATACGACGCGCGTATGAGGTGGCGGGCATTGTGGATTACTCTCAGACCGCATTTGTGGAGTGTCATGGTACTGGAACCCCAGTTGGAGATCCCATAGAAACTCGAGCAGTGGGCCGAGTTTTTGGCCCTTCTGGTGGTGTCCTTATTGGGTCTGTCAAGCCCAATCTTGGTCACTCTGAAGGAGCCTCTGGGATTACAGCCTTGATCAAGTCGATACTGGCGCTGGAAAATCGTGTAATCCCTCCAAACATCAAGCTAAATGAGCCCAATCCCAAAATTCAGTGGGATGACTATGGGCTCTCTGTTCCCACAGAGCCGATGCCATGGCCCGAGACTCGGAGTGAGCGAATCAGCGTGAACTCCTTCGGAATTGGGGGTACCAACGCTCACGTTATTCTCGATTCAGCCCAGAGCTTTGGAGTCTTCCCTGCTGCCACACAGCCTCCTGTTTCCCCGCAGCTGCTTGTTTATTCCGCAAACAACTTTGAGTCGCTAAAAAAAATGATTTTGCATTACACAGCCTATGTCCAGAAGAATCCAGCCAGAGTTGCTGATCTGGCATTCACTTTAGCCAATAAAAGGGAACATCTGTCTCATCGGGCATTCTCTGTGAAAAGCCCATTAGGTCAGCTCACGACTTCGGCACCCGCAAAAGCTGGCGAGGCACCAAATATCGTCATGGTATTCACTGGCCAGGGCGCTCAGTGGCCACAAATGGGTGGCTCTATGATCCACAACACCGTTTATCCCGCATTTAAGAAGAGCATTCAAGATCTTGATTCACATTTGCAAACCCTCACCCATCCCCCAGAATGGAACATTGAAGAAGAGCTGTTGAAGGACCCGAATGATAGCAGACTCAGCTCATCCGAGTTATCCCAGCCTCTCTGCACGGCAATACAAGTGGCTCTAATCGACACTCTCGCCTCCGTTGGGGTTCAGCCTGCTGCTGTCGTGGGTCACTCTAGTGGCGAAGTAGCTGCCGCATACGCTGCCGGTGCCCTAACGGCCAATGAAGCAATCACGATTGCGTTTTATCGAGGCCAGGCCACCAAGCTACAAACAAGACCTGGGGCTATGGCGGCTATAGGCATGGGCACCGAGGAAGTTCAGGAATATCTACAGCCTGGGGTGATCATTGCTTGTGAGAACTCGCCCAAGAGCGTTACCCTCACTGGTGATGCGGATGCTATTGAGAATGCAGTTTCCAGTATTAAGGAGGCCCATCCTGATGTCATGGCCAGACAGTTGAAAGTTGACAAGGCATACCACTCTCATCATATGACTGAGATAGGCGACAAGCTCTATGCTTTCATTGAACATGAAATATCCGCAACGGCTCCAAAGAAGTTGTTCTTCAGCACTGTCGAGAACAAACTACTCACCGAGGCCCAAAACTTCGGCCCAAAATACTGGCAGATGAACTTGCAATCCCCGGTGCTCTTTCGTTCAGCTGTCTCATCAATACTCAAGCACCAGACTTTGAAGAACATGGTGCTTTTTGAGATTGGACCGCACTCCGCTCTTGCGGGTCCCCTGCGACAGATTCAGAGTGATCTTTCCACTTCTTCTCCTTATATTTCCACATTTGTTCGCAACCAAGACAGTACGGGATGCTTCCTAACTGCTATTGGACAGCTGCACGTTCTCAATGCTATCCCCGAATTGAATATGGTCATCAGCGAGGGCTCTACTCTCCCGGATCTTCCAAGGTACCCATGGGATCATTCAAAAAGGTTTTGGCATGAGTCTCGGTTGAGTAAGGAGTGGAGACATCGCGAGCACAAGTACCACGATCTTTTGGGTGTCCGGGTAACAGAGAGTCCTGATTTTCATCCTCTTTTCCGAAATCTCTTTCACCTAGAAAATGCCCCGTGGATTCGTGACCACAAAGTCGGTGATGATATTGTCTTCCCCTTCGCCGGCTACGCTGCAATGATTGGCGAGGCTGTGAGACAGCTCACTGGGGTTAATGAAGCATTCAAAATACGCAATGTCATTGTTAGCACTGCCCTTGTCTTGAATGAGGGCCCACCAGTTGAGATCCTGACAACACTACATCGCCATCGATTGACTGATTCCCTTGATAGTGAGTGGTGGGAATTTACCATCACTTCTCACAATGGAGCCAGTTGGACCAAGCACTGCTCAGGCGAGGCTAGGTCGCATAGCGAACATCTGGAAAACGTAGACAAGGAAGCTCCTCTTGTGCGCAAGGTTAGTACGCGCCGTTGTTACCATTCTCTGGCCATGTCTGGCCTCAACTTTGGGCCATCATTTCGACGTCTTGATGATGTCCGGTCAGACACTCTTACACAGAACGCAACTTCCGAGCTTGTTGCAAAAGAGACTGATGGGGAGGACTATCATCTGCACCCCACAGTAATCGATGCTTCACTGCAGCTGCTCAGCATTGCTGCTTCCAAGGGATATATCGAACAAATAACGGGCATGATGATTCCTACGCACATTCAAGAACTTTCCATATACCGCTGCTATGAGAATGTTCAGGTTCAAGCTTCCGCATCTTACACCCCGAACGGCTCTATTCTCGGTGGTGGCCAGTGCATTACTGCAGGTGGAAAGGTTGTTCTACGCAGTTCTGGAATTAAACTATCTATGCTCGACCATCAGGACTCTGACAAAGCGGGACACACGGCTTGTGCAGAGTGGGCTCCCCACATCGACTTCCTGGATGTTACCACTCTTATCAAGCCATTGATTGACCGCAGTGAGTACATGCCCGCTTTGATAGAGCTATCCCATCTATGTATGATTTACACACAACGTGTCATTGCAGAGCTGGATACTTCAATCAGCCATATGCACAAGTATCGAACATGGATCGATCACTATCTACTGTCTGTGGATCTGCAGAGTCTCCAGCTTCTTGACAATACTGCCATTCAGCAGCGAGTGAAGGAACTCATTCCTCAGTTTTCCCAAACCAATGGCCTCTACCCTGCTGTCGGCATTGAGATGATGTTCAATAATATCCAACAGATATTCACTGGAGAGGTGGAGGCTCTGGATCTCCTTCTAGCCGATCACATATTGGCCAAATTCTACGATGCTATGGATCAGTGCAATATTTCCGAATTTATCAAGCAATTGAGCCACAGCAAGCCTAATCTGCGCATCCTCGAGATAGGTGCCGGGACTGGCGGGTCTACAGCTAATATCCTGAAGATGTTGACACCTGGCAAAAGGAATCTATACATGAATTACACCTTTACCGACATCTCATCTGGCTTCTTTGTTGCTGCGAAGGAGCGCTTTAAAAATTACCCAAACCTTGAATACGCTACTCTCGACATCAGTAAGGATCCCTCTGATCAGGGGTTCGATGGTCGGCAATACGACCTAATTCTGGCAACCAATGTCATTCACGCCACTGCATCCTTGAAGGACAGTCTGAGTAATGTTCGCAAACTTATTTCTCCTACTGGATGGTTCTTACTCCATGAATTGACACCCACATCTAAATGGATTAACTATATCTTTGGAACTCTACCCGGATGGTGGTATGGCGATGCCGACGGTCGGTCGGACGACCCGTACGTAGGCTTTGAACGCTGGGCAAAAGAACTCAAGTCCGCGGGATTCCGTACTCCTGACGCTGCAGTTTCGGATTCAGCATACCCACACCAGTTGAACACCATGATCGTAACTAGACCTGAAGTTGATATTGCGCCTAAGAAATGCGTCACGCTTTTGACTATCTCCGAATCAAGATCTGTTGACCTTTTGCTTCACGCTCTGGAGAACAGGGGATACTCTGTCTATCATGCTCGGTTTGGCGAAGAGACCCTGCCTGACGGACAAGATGTGATTTCCTTGCTTGATGACGATGCCCCATTCTTTGAAAACATGGATAACCAACGCTTTGACTCTTTCAAGAAATTGGTGCAGAGCCTAGAGAAATTTAGTATTCTCTGGGTGACACGTTTATCACAAACCCAATGTCGGGACCCGAGATTTGCTCAGATCAACGGCATATCGAGGACGATTCGCAGTGAACTTCTTGTCAACTTTGCTACTTGCGAGATTGATAATTTTGATGTCTCTTTGGAAAAGCTCATCGATGTATATGAGAAATTCCAAGTTCATCAGGAGGACGAGACTCTCAAGCCTGACTTTGAATACGCTATTGTGGACAATACTGTCCTGGTCAGTCGGTATCATCTTTTTTCGCTGCAAGATGAGCAAAAAATGTCGGATTCAACTGGTAGCATGGTTCTTCGAACAAGTAAGCCTGGCCGCTTGGCCACGCTGCACTGGGCTCACGAAAATATGAGACCTCTAAAAGGAAATGAGGTGGAAATTGACACTTATGCAATTGGTTTAAATTTCAAGGTAGGTCTGACGCTCACAGGTGAACAGAGTAAGCACATACCAATACAAGCTCACAGGATATCTTATGTGCCATGGCCATTGTCGAAGCCAACGATAATGAATTTGGCAATGAAGGCGGCGGCATAGTTCGTCGCATCGGTCCCGAAGTTCAAGATCTGAAGGCGGGTGACCGTGTTATGGTCGCTGGGAAGTGCTTATTTGGGACACAATTGGTTGTCTCCGAGAACTTATGCGAGAAGATTCCAGGTGGCTTAAGCTTCAATGATGCGGCAACCATGCCTTGTGTGTTCACTACATCAATATACTCCATCATCGACGTTGGAAATCTGAAAAAGGGACAGGTTTGTTCTCTCTCGATCCTTTGACTTCCTGTGTCGACTTTTGACGTATTTTATAGTCCATCCTTATCCATAGTGCCTGTGGTGGAGTTGGTATTGCAACTATTCAGCTTGCTCAGATGATTGGTGCGGAGATTTATGCAACTGTTGGTAACGAGGAAAAGGTTAAGTATCTCATGGAGACATTTGGCCTTCCTCGGAACAGGATTTTCAATTCCCGTAATACCTCGTTCGTCGAGGATATCATGCGGGAGACAAATGGACAGGGTGTTGATTTGGCATTGAACTCATTATCTGGTGAACTACTTCATGCTACATGGAAGTGCATTGCACCATTTGGAAAGATGGTCGAGATTGGCAAGCGAGACTTGATTGGCTCTGGAAAACTTGACATGAGTCCTTTCTTATATAACCGAAGCTACTGCTGTGTCGACTTGGATCAACTTTGGTCCGAACAGCCGACCCTTGGAAAGAAGTATGTATCATCAATCTCGAGTGGTATGCAAATGTATGAGATTCGATAACTGACATATCATGCAGGCTGCTGAAGAGAATTGTGGTACTACTCAGGGAGCGCTATATCTCTCCTATCCGGCCCATCAAAATCTTTAGTTCCGATGGCATACATGACGCCTTCCGTTACATGCAGCAAGGCATCCATCTAGGAAAGATCGTTGTGTCAATGCGTGATAATTCAGGTCATGTCAGCGCAGTACAAAATATCCAGCAAGGGAAGAGATCCATTCAACTCAACAGCTCCGATGCATACCTTCTCGTAGGTGGCCTCGGAGGTCTAGGTCGGGCCATATCTATGTGGATGGTCAAGCATGGGGCTCGCCACCTCATATATCTTTCTAGAACTGCAGGTACTAGTGAGGATCACCGAGGGTTTGCTCAAGAGCTTGCCAGTATGGGATGTCACGCCGACTTTGTTCGGGGTAGCGTTTCCAACCTAGAGGACGTGGAAAATGCCATTTCACAAGCTCAAGGCCGCCTCCGGGGTATCTTGCAGATGTCCATGGCGCTTTGTGATCGCAGCTTCACAAGCATGACACTAGAAGAGTGGAACACAGCTGTTGATCCGAAGGTCAAGGGAACGTGGAATCTTCATAATGCTTCGGTATCTGCCAATGCTGAACTTGACTTCTTTGTTCTGTTCAGTTCGGTGTCTGGTCTCTTTGGGCTTCCTGGTCAGATCAACTATTCTGGTGCTAACACTTTCCTGGACGCCTTTTCTCAATATCGCTTGAACTTGGGGCTACCAGCTTGCGCTATCGATATCGGTCTTGTCGGAGAAGTTGGCTATACTGCTGAGCAGAGGGAACCTTTACTCAATTTCAAAACTGCTGGCATCATGGGCACCATGATTTCGGAGAGCGAATTTCTCATTGCGATAGAAGCAGCGATGACATCTGTGCCAAGTAAGTCGAGATCTAGTTTTGGCATTGGAATTCGCCCCCATGTTTCCATGGCGGATCAAAGAAACCGTTTGATCTGGAAGAAGGACATCCGAATGTCAGTGTTTTATAATAGTGCAGCATCTAGTAGCACCTTAACCTCTGCCCCAGGTAGTGGCCTGGGGGTCTTTATCGCACAGGTCAAGGGAGATGTCGGTCTACTAAGCCAACCTGAATCTGCTCAAATGTTCGCTTTGGAAATTGGAAAGAAGGTGTTTAGCTTCTTGCTGAAGCCGGAAGAAAACCTGGTGACATCTTGCTCCTTGCCTGATCTTGGAATGGACTCTCTTGTGGCAATTGAGATGAAACAATGGTGGAAGACGACTTTTGGGTTCGATATCAGTGTCCTCGAATTGATGGGAATGGGCACCATCGATATGCTCGGGGAGCACGCTGCTCGTGGTATGCTTAAATTGTTCCATGGTGTACACGAGCAAACCGATTGAGTAACATGTAGCTTAATTGACTCAATGCGAGTGAACCTTAGAGGACTGTTACAAACGCAAAACTAGGGAAATAAATGAAATGAGATGAAACAGCTAGGTCTCACTACTTTCCATAATTTATGCTCCCTTAAACGCCAAAAATACTGCAGCCTAAAAGCGACAGCCGAGGAATGTAGACTATACTGCATTGGCTGCTTCTAATTTTTCGTTTTCTGTTCAGACGCGATATGGCACCTCTTGCTGAGGAAGTCCGAATATCATTGCCCAGATTCCCAATGACACAGCTAGCAAGGCGAGCAAGACTGGCTGCAGCACGGTCACGCCCTTGGACTGAGCAATAGCGCCGATCATAAATGGGAAAACAGCACCACCACCCATGGAAAAGGCAGCTGCAAATCCAATAGCAGCAACGTGAAGATTCTTCGGTAGCAATCGTGTCGCCACAATCACAACTCCTGGGAAGATAGTTCCCAAAAATAATCCAACAAATGCAACCGCAACCGCGGATACGATGAACTCAGGCACAAGCCAAAAGATGAGCTCAAGAGCAATTGCAAGCAGAATGTATACAGCAATGGACAGCTTTTCTCCAATTCGTGGTGACACAAACCCTAGCACGAATCGACCGACTGTGAGGCCGAGCCAGAAACCTGTTTCTGCCATTCCGGATTCAAATGGGTCTCCGTGTCGGACATTTGTCATAAAGACAACAATCCAACCACCGATTGCTACCTCGATTCCGCCATAGAGGAAGAGGAAGATGCCGCATATCCAAGTAACCTTATATGTGAGGGCAAGGCGTGTTTGAGAGAATGCTCCTCCTCTGCCTGGGTGACTGGGATTCTCTTGTCGATATTTGCTACCAGTTTCATCCCAGAAAGCGCTGGCGGCGTAGATTAGCGCGATAGAAGCTGCTCCAGTCTATATTTCATGGTTAGTTTATTGGCAGTGGTTGCATGATGAGATAGAGATGATCAAGATACCATCAGGTAGTAATAAGAGTACCATTGCCATCCAGCTTTGATAATGAGACTCGTAGCAACAAACGGGCTTATTGTGGCTCCAATGCCATAGAATCCATGGAAGAAACCGAGCACTTCATTCGAGTTCGCCATGTTCCCGATCCATACATTCCATGCCGCATTGTGAAGTCCGCTCCCCAATCCCACCAGCATATACATAATGACCAGGACTGGAAAGGGTGGGTGGGTAGATATGACTGCAAATGCAAGTACATGGCAAGTAGGCGCAATTATTGTGATTCCTCGCCTGCCGAGCTTCTGATGAACTAAATTGCTCAGAATAGCGGATGTGGTATATCCCACAAAAGGGGAAAGAAACACCAGGGAAATGACTGTATAGTTTTTCTGGTAGTAAACTTCTAACTAGAAAGTTCAAATAAGATGGTCAGTGATTTTATACAACGGGGATCAGGTCAAAGCCAAGTTAGTAACACAAACAGATGGAATGATGGCTCCATATGCAGCATCATTGGACCCCATCACAAATGCACACCAAAACGTGGCTGTCACCTTCCATATTGTTGTTTTCGACTCGTTCCATCTTGGTGCGACGTTTACTGCATGCAACGGTGGAGTATCATCAGGCTCAGAAGACGTAGCTTCAGGCGTATATAGGTATCCTTCAGGTTCGCCTGATGTTGGTGGCCAAGATGACCGTGGACTGGAATTTACACTTATGCTGCTCATTTCCGGTATGGTTAAAATGGTGAATGTGAGATCTTGAGGGGAGGTTGCGAAATTGTGGGGGATATACGAAACATTGTAATGCGGGGGAGAAACAACTGGTGAATGTAACCTCGATTATCCTACAACAATATGTGCGAATTTATAGGTAGATATGCCAATGAAGGTGAGTTATAAGTTGTATTATCTAGTACCTTCCTCAGCTGTATTTTCAGTATATATTTACTTCCAATTAAAAGTTCTATTCAATGATAGTTAAGATAACGGCAGCATTCCCAATGTAAGATACAGCCCTACAGCCCACGAAATGGCAATATAAAATGCCATCAAGGGTGCCAAGATGGAAGCAGTAGTATATCTCATAGCCAAGAAACATATTGTCAAAAGAAAGCCATCATAAAAAATAATAGCAATATAATAAAGGCCGGTCACGTGGTGGTATTCACACCGAGGCCACCATCCATCAGTGCGTGTTTTGCCGACCTCCGGAGGCTCTAAGTCTTCAATCTTTCCATCTTGGGAAAAAGCCACGTCACAAAACTGTTTTCAAGTTGAAATGGCCACAACTTCGCGGCTATCTCCAATAAAGCCTAATCTAAAGGAGTTTCTTCAGCCTCTCCGGGTTGAACTCGAAAGCTTGTATGCTTTGTCATGTCGCCTATCATCGTCTTATAAAAAGTTGGCCGCGGAATCTTCAGAACACTTTATTCCAACTGCACTTACCAGTCTCCCAACTGGTCAAGAAACAGGACGCTATCTTGGTGTCTATTTTGGTCTGTCCTACCTTCGTGTGGCCTTCATCGACCTCTTAGGAGATCAACATGTGGAAGGACATACACGCGTAAGGCGCACATTAGAGAAAGCATGGCCTATTGAAGAGCGCCTACGAAAGGATCATCCTGTCGACCTCTTCACGTGGATTGGAGACTGTATCGCCGAGGTGGTGGCAGACAGACTAGCCAATCCAAGTGAAGAGCGGATTGACCAAATTACGACAGGTATTTCCTTTTGTCTTCCTATAAAGTATAGTTATCGATCCATATTTGGTTGTGTGCTTCTGTGGCTAATCTATTGTAGACAAGATTCCCTCGATGAAGCTATCTTGATGCCGACAGGAAAAGGCTTTTCTCTAAGCTCAGATCTCAATCTCCGCCAAGCCTTGCTGAATGGATATGAACGCCACACGTATTCGACTCATGGAGATGAAATGAATATGCCTGCTAAACGCCGCAGACTATTTTCTCTTCCTAAGTTGAAAGTCGCAGTCATGATCAATGATACGACAGCGACACTTGCTTCATTGGCGTACTCCATTCCTTCCTTACCCAACACCCGTGTTGTTATGGGTTTGATCGTGGGGGCAGGATGTAATACGACTGTTCCCATGAAACTTGCCGACTTACATGAATCCAAAACTAAAAGCATTCTTGAAAAACACCCCGATGCACAGGAAACACTCATCTCGACTGAATGGACTCTCTCCACTGCAGCGGGTTCCTTCGATGAGCTCGGTATTCGAACCAAATGGGACCTTCAGCTCGATAGAAATTGCAAAAGACCAGGTTTCCAACCAATGGAATATATGATCGGCGGTGGATATACTGGCGAGCTTGTCCGCATCGTCTGTTATGATTGGTTCCATGGTGTTTTGGGAATAGAACGCTCCAAGTTACCCCTGAAGTTGGTTAAAGAATATTCTCTTTCAACAGATTACCTCTCCCTTGTTGTTGCATCTTCTCTATCCGATCAGCGCTTGGCAAGCGAATTGTCCAAGACACTTCAACCATCTCCTGAAAGTGATTGGATTTGGTCGCCTGAATATGCCCGTGATATCCGGGCCATTGCCTCGGCTGTGCAGGATCGAGCGGCTTCTTTGGTGGCGTCTGCAGTTGTTGGTCTCCTGGACTGCACCAATGAAGTCCAATTGCGCAACACAGCTTCCAATTGCGCCAATGGAGAAAAAATTAGTACAGAAGCTGGAGTTACTGAACAAACGGACTCGGAGTCGGCCTCATCGTCAACGCCAGGTTGGAATAGCGGGCCCGAGGAGCTCGCGGTGGCCTATTCAGGTGGAGTGATCCAACACTATCCTCACTATAAAGACACTGTACAAAGATATATTGATCGACTGCTCCTGCGAGCTGGTCCTCAAGCAGGAGGAAAGAGTGTGTTCTTGCGGGAGGCCAGTGATGGCGGGATCATTGGAACTGGTGTCCTTGCAGGAACAGCGTCAGGGGAAATTGGAGAAATCAAGGTTACTAATGGTTAAATATGATCGATTTCTCCCAGTTAATATTCATATAGATGCATTATAAAATACTTTACCCTCCAGGGCTTCACAGAAAAACAAGCCCCACTTCGGCAGGAACCCGATATCGGTACAATTCCATCCATGTTCTCTCAGAACAATCTATTGGTATCATTTTAATCCAAGATCTACTTCAAGAATTGCTTAGACCACGCTACCTAGCCTTTCATTGCCAAATCTCAAAAATCTGGTGATTGCCAACATATATCGGCCGTTGGAACCCGCCAAGAACGCTGGACGCACGATTCGAAGACTTTTCGTTCCGGGGTTTTTTTTACGTTGAGATATCCCAAACACAAACCACCACGATGAAATTCTTCGATGTGAGCAATTTTCTTCCGTCTTTCTAGAGTTTGACTAACACTGGCCACAGGTTGCCGTCACATTCACTGCAGACCAATTCCAAGGCATCTACCGAGGAAAGCAATATCATGAACAAGACTTTGCAGAAGTCCTGAAAAGAGCCCGTGATCATGGATGTGAAAAGATCATGCTCACCACCATGACTTTAGAAGGCGCAAAACAAAACCTGCAGGCCGTCAGAGAGTTCCCTGCAATGTGCAAAATGACCTTGGGCGTGCATCCGTACCATGCCGCCGAGATCTATGAACAGCCGGAATCGCAATACCTTAACAAGCTGCGCGAACTAGGCGAAATTCTTCTAGCCGAGAACCCATCGCCTCTAGCTGCGTTCGGGGAAATCGGTTTGGACTACGAGTACCTGGATCGGGCCGATAAGGAAATGCAGCAACGCGCATTTCGCGAACAATTAGAGCTGGCTGTGCAATTCCAATTACCGCTATTCTTGCATGTCCGTGAATCAGCCGAAGACTTTATTTCCATCATCAAGCCCTTTCTGCCAAGACTGCCGCGTGGTGGGTTAGTGCACTCTTTTGCGGGGACCAAGGGGGAGATGCTCCAGCTCGTGGAACTCGGTCTTGAAATTAGTGTCAACGGAGTCTCGTTCAGGACGGATGAACAATTGGAAATGGTGAGAACTATTCCATTGGATAAGTTGCAACTGGAAACCGATGCACCGTGGTGCGAGGTCTTGTCTAATGATCCCAAAATCGCGGCTTACTTGGAAACCGCGAAGCCTTTGCCGGCGAGTAGGAAGCATAACAAGTTTATACTGGGGCAAATGGTCAAGACGCGCAATGAAAGTTGTTTTATGGAACGTGTAGGATTAGTTGTGGCGGGTCTGAAGGATGTGGCTATGGAAGAAGTGATTGAGGCGGCTTGGAATAACAGTAGTCGGATGTTTTGGTTGTGAAAATGTATATCTTTGGACCACTGTCTGTACTTAATTAAAGTCAATGGGCAGGACTTGTTAGAGTTTTTTCTACTTTCGAATTTAGCTAGTCCAAGTGGACCACTAAACTACCAATATTTGAAGGCAATTCAAGCATGTTTAACTAGCAGAGCAATGCACAGTATATAGCTTGAAGTGCACGGTATAGATCCCGCAGCAACAAGCTTTTACTTAAGATATGGACATAATCAAATGAATCTCGATAGATCAACGTGGATGTATGTACACAAAGTCCTTGCTTCGGGACATCATGATATCGTGATTGGTGCCCTGGGTAGGCATGCAGGGGGACGAATACAGGGGTTTGCGTCAGGGCTTATGCCAGACCTGACGCCGGGCCCCAGACATGTTCTATCGCATAGCCCACGATTGATCGGAGGTAACCAGATGGAATGGCGCGATTTGATTGCCGGAAAATTTACATTTATAAATAATTGTGGCGCATCCTTTTTTTAGTCTTTCTGAGATCATCTCAGATTCCTGCCGCGGAGATTAATCTAGGTCGGAATGAAGGAAGTCATAGTGTTGTTCCTCACATTTGATCCCTCAGGGCCCATAAGATTTACAATCCAATTGCCCCTCGAATCGTTGTTGCCCCTAAACACTTGCTTTGCTGGCGATCTAGGGATTTAAACAAAACAAGGTTGATATGGAAGGTTCGTGACTTCTCGGATGCATTTACTGAGAGAGAGAGAGAGAGAGAGAGAGAGCCTAACGAGTGGGTTAGATTGTCAATTGTTTACTTTTAACTGCTCATGCGAAGGTAAACACACACGGTGGTTGGGGATAATCTCCAGGTTGTAGGAGTGGAGCGCCACGGGTTGTTGACATTCTTTACGTTGCGAGGGCCATCGCTAACCCATCAGCGCATGGGCAAAGTCCGCAACACGATGGCATCGGCCATTCCTCTGTAGAGTTATGTGGAATGTTATGGTCCTCTCGCCATGTATATATACTAATTGTTGTCGGCAACCCTGAATCTATTCCCTAATTATTCCCAAGCCTCTATACTCTCGGAATTGACACTCTTGAATACCCTGGTGTCTGAGTGTTTATCAAAAGTCCACCTACCAAAAGTTCTTCAAGACGTTGTAAGTAAAACGCTGGTGACTGAGTCGCTCTTTCCTCTGATCTTCATCCGGTCTTGCTATTGGGTCAACACTAACAAGCGACATCTAGAAACATAATCACAATGAAGGGCACATTAATTCTCTCTGGCCTTTTGGCCACAGCTGTCTCGGCTCACATGCAATTGAGCAAGCCGTACCCTATCCGCAGTCCCCTCAACAAGGACGGCAAGGGTGAAAAGGATTATTCTTACACCAACCCTCTCTCGAGCTCCGGTAGCGACTACCCATGCAAAGGCTACGCCAATGATGAATTTGAGGCTGTCGCTACGTGGCAACCAGGGTCCTCCCAAGAGATGACATTGGAAGGTAGTGCCGTGCATGACGGCGGCTCATGCCAGCTCTCCCTGACCTATGACAAGGGTAAGACCTTCAAGGTCATTGAGTCGATTGAGGGTGACTGCCCTATTGCCAAGAAGTACCAATTCGATATCCCATCTGACGCACCAAGCGGTGATGCTCTCTTCGCTTGGACCTGGTTCAACAAGGTTGGCAATCGCGAGATGTACATGAACTGTGCTATGATCACCATTGGTGGCTCCAGCAACCGCAACGCTAATGTCCACTCCGAAGACCGTGAGGTCAAGCACGCCCCAAAGCTCGACGGCAAGCCCACCCACAAGGGGCCCAACAAAAATGCCAACGGCCAGACTAAGAATGCCAAGAGCAGCTTCGATAGCCTCCCTGACCTGTTCGTTGCGAACGTCAACCAGGCTGGCAAGTGTGTGACTATCGAGGGTCAGGCTGTGCACTTCCCCAACCCCGGCCCCAAGCTCATCGGTAAGGCCGATGGCCCTGGGTATAAATGCGCCGATGACCATGTTCCCTTCCTCAAGAACAGCTCCAAGTCCGAGCACAAGCCTGATACCACAAGCACCACCAACAAATCCGAGAAGAAGCCCGCTACTACTAAGGCCATGTCCAAGGTTGCCCAGGCCTTCGGTAATGCCCCTGTCCCCGCCGCTGCCCCCGCCCCCGTTGACACCCATGTGTTATCTACCGAGGCCTCTGTCAACAACCACTTCAGTGATTACGTCGGCCAATGGTCTTGCCACTCTGGGGATATCATCTGTGCACCCAATGGTCTGTCCTTTGCCTTGTGCACCAACGGCAAACCCATTTTCATGGGATCTGTCGCTGCTGGTACTATATGCCGCTGGGGCGTTATTACTGCTCGCCATTAAAGATGTTAATTTTTTGTACTTTCATGCTTCTTGGCGGTTTCTTTTTCGATACATCTCAGTGGGTATTTTGTCATAGACTGAATCAGTCGAGTGAATTTTGCTCGCTACCTTCGGTCTTGGGTTTTCACAGTTGACGTTCCCTTTCAGCGGCTGTTGGGTCCTCTGTATTGTTTTTTATATCTTTATCTATGACCTGTTGATCGATGACCTAGTTGACGTCCATGTATTGACGGTGTTGTCATGTCGAACAATTTATGTACCTAATGATTCTGTGTGTTAATTCAAATTCTGAACCTTTATGCACCCTTTTCGTTTCACGATCTACCAGGAATAGTATAGCCTTTCCCAGTAAAACAGCCTAACATTATATACCAAAGCTCTTATTTTTTTGCCTAATTGGAATTAGAGGAAAACTGATGTTACTTATACTTTACGTGTACAATTTGTATGGCATACACATACAAAAGGTACTTGATCTCTGGAACGAACCTTTATTTAGGCACATGGGCATCTGGGTTCGATTACATTTAATCACTTCGACACCTTTGTCATCGTTAATACCTATTGTAATGAATATTCACAGCTGTCTTGTCCTAACAAGCAAGATTATATCAGAAATCTAGTTCGAATACCATGATTTCCAGGGTCTGATTCTCTCTGATTGGCCAGGACGTCTTGAAGAGGTACACACGATATACATACTACCTTGCCATCCATTTGGCTAGTTATGTACAATCATACTTGTCATCCAAGGACACCCTGAAAAGAAGGCTTAGAACAGTACGGAGTACATACCAAAAGAAGACGTAAATGCGGGTTTTCTGGTTCTTCAGCTGAAGTGGACAAGGTATGACCCCTCAGCTCTGACCCACACAAGAACGCCTCCGAAGTACTAGTTCGGGATTGAGCTATCATCTATTTGTTTCTTCGGTGAAATACACTTTTGAATGCTCAACTGGAGCCAATGATGTTCCTCGCTCTATGCCTCTCACAATGAATGTCCACGGGTGTCTATGCGCCAAGAGGCAAATATAGAAGCCAATCTACAGTACGGAGTACGGAGGGCATCCCTAGTCGAAATTCAAAACTGCAAGGGCTGATCCTCCGACATATTGAATTTTATTTTATTTTCTTTTTCAAGATTATGTAGACTTTCAACAAAATAGTATAACTATACTTTAAACAAAGCCAACACCCGAAGGTGCCACGCAGCTTCAATCTTCTTTTCCTGGGGAGATTATTTCATATCACCATGGGCGTTCTCCGACAGAACCCCGTTGGCTACAAATGGCGCTCTTCCAAATGGTTTATCATTTCTACTATCACTCTCGCTTTGTTTGGTGGTTTGTCGGCCTACAATCCACTTTACAATCTGTCGCTAACACTATCTATTTCATAGAAACCTTCCTATACGCATTCATCGTCCCTATTTTAGACTACATGTTACGAACTCGCCTGCATATCGATCGCTCCAAGACTCAGAAGGTTACCTCTACAGTACTCGGTCTCCATGGCGCTATCTCCATCGTCGCTGGTCCCATCATTGGCCATTTCGCCGATAAAAACCCAAACCGCAAGACACCATTGTTGCTCTCTCTTTTCGCCTGCATCATTGGCACCCTTATGATGGCTGGCACCCATTCGATTCCGATCCTCTTACTCGGCCGCGTCCTGCAGGCAGTTGCAGGATCCGCAGTGTGGATCATCGGTTATGCAACTATCGCAGATACGGCGGATCAGGCGAATCTCGGTATGATAATGGGGATTGCAATGTCATTTATCAACCTAGGAGTCGTCGGTGGGCCTGCAGTCTCCGGGTTGTTACTAGAAGTGGCGGGGTATTGGATAACTTGGATGGTGCCGCTCCTCATTTTGGCCATCGACCTTGTCGCGCGCCTTTTGATGATTGAGAGTCCGTCGAAGAGTTTTCCTTCTGATACCAAGTCCACCGAGACAGCAGAAAGGGCAGACTCAACAGAGACTACGGGTCTGCTGCCCGCGCATGGCGATCCCCAAGCCCAAAGTTCATCCACCGCGGGCTTTTGGCGCATTATGTTATGCGATGCTCGCGTCCTGACTGTTCTGCTCATTCAGATAATGAGTATAACGGTGGGAACGTGCTTCAACGCGACTATTCCACTTCATGTACAGGAAACATTTGGATGGGGTCCCAGCAAGATTGGATTCCTGTTCTCCTGCTTGGTCCTGCCCAGTCTTTTGATCAGTCCCCTTGCAGGCTGGACCCGGGACCGTGTCGGAACACGAGCTCCTGCCGTAATTTCCTTGGTTCTTCAGGCGGCAATGTTGGTACTATTAGGTATTGCTGGAAATGAGCGAATTCCCTGGGCGAGTGCTCAGAAGCATGGCGGAACACTTTACATAGCATCCATCCTAGCTATGGGTGCATTTCGTCCTTTTATGGCAGGCTTAGGGCCTATTGAATTAACTGGTAAGTGTTGATTTCTCTTGGTGAAGTCGGTATACTATCTGTGCGGCTTTCTGAATATCCATCACAGCTGCTGTCAAGGCCCACCAAGAAAAGACCCCAGGCATCTTTGGACCTGAGGGAGGACTTTCCAGGGTATTTGCTCTGTTGGAGGTTGCTGCTTCTGTCGGAATGACAATCGGTCCAATTGCGGGTGGGTCGCTCAAGGAACTCCTTGGTTATGACTATATGAATTGGACTTGGAGTAAGTGGTTAACCCCTTTCGCTTGTGATATTGCTAATAGTAGTAGGTCTGCTTTATCTCTTCCTTGCCGGGCTTGTCATGTGCTTCTTAGGATCCGAAGATCCCAAAGAAATGCCTCCTGCTGATGGAGACTGCTAGAACTGTTGGATTCTTAAAACACGTATTATATTTAGTTGGAGTTACATGTTGATAATTTTTAATCAATCTAGTCAATCTCAGAAATCTGAGATGAGTAATGACGTGTCATTCTAGTCATTGCTTTTAACTACCCTATTTGTCAGATATTAATATTCGGCCCCGTGTACTCCCTAGTCAATATGAGCTATCAATTCCTAGGTCGACTATGTCGTGACTTTAGCTTGCAAGGGAGTCTCCACTCACAGCCTCAGCATTGAATCAGCGTTCAATCAATAGAATTTGCTCCATGATGATAGCTGTTTCAGCAGGTTGCTTTCCATTTCTCACATAAGCCGTCTCAATCGAGCTGGGATGCAGCGCTTAAGCATGTCAAGGTGTGCATATTTGGGTCGGTCGGCATCAAGTGGCGGGGCTGACTGCAGACCATTGAACAGCTTGCATTAGCGTGGAGAGTGTGCAACAAATCATTACAAAATCAAACAGCAAATTATTCAAAGAAAATCTACGGAGTAATGCTAGTCAATCTCGGTCACAGAATCTACATAGATACGGTGTGTAATCCAGGGGGACAGCGGAAAGACCACGGTTTTGCGTGGTGTCGTAGGAGATAATCGAGGTGATTCCGTATAGGCGGTTTTATAGATCTCATCAGGACTAGTGCCATATGTCCAACTGAGTTCAGCGTATGATTGTCCCGATCTTGCTGCAGGTCTATCATAAGCTCGGCAGCTTTATTATGGGCGATAATTAACTGATTGTTATGCGAAATGAGTGTCATTATCTTTGCTTATAGTGGTTAAGTATCGTACACTCCCCGGGCGTTCATCTCTCAAACCTCGGCGACACCATCACACTGTTGAATGAGCAAGTACTGAAAGTTGGCGGGGTGAGCTATCTGTCCCGACGGGGATTTGATAGACTACCAGTTACTTTTGCTCATTGAAACTTCTACTATGAATATTGGTCTATTGTCTTTAGTTTCCCTAAAAGTACCACTATCTCCTCAACAAAACGAACTTCTCCCAGCCAACTTGGAAAGTGAGGAGCAAAACAAGCAATCTAGTAAACTTCAATCCGCTAATTATGACAATTACCTTCCCACCCTTTGCTAGGCCTCCTATCGCCCCCCAAGTCTCTATGTAGCGTTATCTTAAAATCATATGGTTTGCCCCCCGCAATATTCCAGCCATGGCATTGGTACCAGTTAGAGCTTTCATCCCCAATGAAGAAGTTGGATTGAGTTTTATTAAAGAAGTTCTTTAGCCAGAATTCGGTTTCGTACCTACTTAGTCTAGAGTTGATCTTTTGGAAGAGCCCTGACAAAGCTGTTTCTTTGGAAGCTTGGAAAATGAACTCATTTTCCACCTGGAAAGTCTTGGAAATTTTGTTGGATCGGGCTCGAGTTAGGACCAAAACCCGTGCTAGAGGATGCTGAACAGTGCAGAGATGTGTGAATGTCCCACATAATTTCTGATAAGATGAAGGTCTTAAAGTCTCCTGTTGAGATTGAAAGTATTCGATTGGATGTTGCTTTTGATGGAATGTGATACTCAAGCATGGACAAATGTCAACTTTGTCATCGTGTTGGAAGTCGCACCAAGCATTACATTCGAATATAGCGGGCTTTGGATCACATGTCCAACCAAATTTTAGAAACTGCCATCTAGAGTACCGGTGAAGATTTTGACATCTATGACAGTAGACCCAGCGCTCGTTTTGAAGGCGACGAAGTAGCAACGTCCTAGGCAATGTTGATAGGACACATATGCCACGCTTTCTGTTATATGAGACATAGCAGGCATGTAGCCTCTTACAGCTCAGTGCAAAACAAGCTCGGTCTAGGTCGGAAAGAAGCTGGAAGATAATTTCCACTATTCCTGAGGGGATCTTCCAGAATGTCTTGGATTTCTTGGGCTCGACTGGTTCGACTGATTTGACCCTAGGGGGTGGATCACGGACTCGCAAAATATTACAAAAAGGTATGCAGGTGCGTCGAGTCATGGTGAGCATTCATTCAACTGATATCTTGTACAGGGAAGGTTTTGCTTGCCGGCGGGGGAAAGAGGAATTTATTTAGTATGACACATACCACTATGACACGTCCACGGGTACACTTCCACGGACGTCATAGACCGGCAACCCGTTAATACTTCCGTGGGGCCATAGGCATAGGTGTCCGTCCTTCGAATCACACTAGAGACTTCATCATTGATCCGAGTATGTGCCACAAAAGATGCGCAAACCCACAGGAGTATTGTCTTCAGAGCACGTCAAATATTATCCCGTGTCTTGCTGCCCCATCGCTGATCTATTCACCAAGCTGGTCTTGACAGAAGACCAAAGTAATCCACCAGATATGAGGTCTGGATCATCTTATTTCGCAATGCTCTGCACAATGCTGGGTATTATTTGAGATCGCTTCGCCGTGAGGTCTTTGAAGCGGGATGCGCGGCGGGGCTTGTGGTGGTTCCATGGGGGTGTTTGGTGAGGTCGAATTGAAACATCTTCTAGCTCCGTGTCGAAGGAGGAGATTTGTATATGCAGATGAAAGCAGAGTTCGATAGTAAGATCACTCGCAGCTAGTAGGGAAGATAAATGTATGTTCCAGGGTCAGCTTACCAAGTATTCTTCAGGACAAACAGACGTATGAAAGTTGTTTATTGTACTTCATAACATGTTGTAGACGAGATGAGAATGTGAGATGGAAAAACATGATCATGTGAATAATATAACACATATTCTCATGTGTGAAAGAAAATAATTCTAAGTAGCTGCCTACGTACATACATATTGGGTATTGTAGGTACATATGTATGTATAGGCTTGTAGTTGTCACTGGCTCAGGCGACACTGGCTTCGGGGGGCGGAATCGGCATGGGGATACCCGTGTCTCCACCACCGCCCGCCCCCAAATTTCCTACTCTCTCTCCTCTGTGTAAAGATCTCTGGCGTCTTAGAATTCCATTTATCACAGTGGTTTTATCGAACCATCTATGGATTGCGCTTCCAACTACAACCCCTACATTCCTACTATCTTTCAACAGAAGACTGTAAGTCCTCTGGTGAAGGCTTTCACCTAGATCACCCTTGAATAAGAGAAGTGGTTCAAAGGTGTCCGATTCGTTGGTAACATGAAAGGCCCAACTGTAAGTTCGGTATCATTTATCACCAGTTCGTGGTTACAAAGTTCTAGAAAGCTAACGAAGATACTCGATATAAGGCAGGCGATCTCCATAAAATTCGCCTGACCCAGGCCTATTTTTCCCTTATGGCCTCTCGTGTGCCGGAGAGACACCCAGAACAGAGTCAGTACAACGTCATGGTTGAAGCAGATGGCTCTCTACAACTCCCTGCGCGCAGTTACAACTAGTCTTCTTGAATACTGCTTCTTTTACAAAGTTGAACATACTGCCCGTACCAAAACGCCAAGCTTTGGACAGACTAGTCTAAGCCTTGTCAATTTTATTGCAGGACATGCTATGGGAAGATGCATTACGAGTCCGATCGAAATCCTTGCTGCAGTGCCCATCTGTCCTTCCCCCTTGATTGAACAACAACCAACAGCCAATACTTGTGAGTATCAAACATGGCCCGGTAGCCAGAACAATCAAGGACCTTGATGAGATGGCTGGCTGGCTACTCAAAGATGGGATTCTCAAAGCTCGTTTGTAGAAGGTTACCCCGGGCTGGAAATGGGATCATCCCTTGCCACTCGCACTCAACATGCACATACTGTGATATTCCGGGGGGTCGAAAGGACATCATGGTCGGACATACCAAGTCCTGAATCCGCTTTGGGGGGGGGGGGGGGGGGGGGGGCACGAAACGAAAATACGGTGGCGGGGGCTTACGTTTCTCATCTCGCTCCTTGTCAAGATCTCAGGCAAATTCCGAAATCTGGGGGGGGAATGAAATGCTCCCTGCTCCCACCTTGGCTTCTGGTATGGTGTCCCGAGGTCGAGGATATATTGATCTGAAGCTCTACCCAGATATAGATTCTTGCCTGGTCTTCTCTCAGGTCTCGTGCAAACTACACTCTGGGTGTACATGAAGCGATAATGCGGTGATGGGCGCGTACTTTTGTCATGTCGCTCCTGAGAAAGAGCTCAGAAGACAAATCCCGAGATCTTTGGGTATAGGAATGCTGTCTGTTCTTACCTCGAATCATACTGTCGTATCTCAAGGCCGAGGACATCGTGGTTTTAGGCTCTACCTAGGCATAAGTGCTTATTTGATCTCTTCTCACTTCTAGGCCAGAAAAGGAGTTACGAGCGAGACTTGATTATCTTGGGCTTGAGACATGCTCCCAGAATTCATCTGACCCTTCATGCGGAGTTCCGAGAGCAAACCCGTTACCTCGCTACCTCTACTAAAACGGATACTCTCAAACTTCGTCTAGATCCCGGTGTAAAGTCACGGGAACCAGAGAGCCGACCGTGTCACGGAGTCTGTTCCAAGCCTTGCTCTCATAATGCAGAGACAGAGAACTAAGGGCATCTTTTACGACCTTGAGCTCTCGCGGTTTCTAAATCCTACTGATCTCTGGGATGAACGGTGTTTCATTTTGCACAAGATCTGCTCTCAACTGTGTCCTAACAGAGCCACAAGCCTGGTGCTGGCCTTACAATCCTGGGTTACTAGTTGTTGTTTTACTTAGTTTTTCCGGTTTGAGATTGAAAATTTGGTATCATTCGGTTCATTGATTTTCATATAGTCTTCCTTTCATGTACATTATACAGAAAATACATACAAAGTTACTGCCGCCCCTTAGCTTCTCTCTCTTGATAACATGTTCTCGAGTCCCTGAACAGATATATTTTGTTTGTTTCCTTTCAGACTGTGATTTTAGAAACCCATAATATACTCGGACTTCTCGGAAAGCATATCTCATATATCCATCAATATGGTAGTCCAAACGAGGTACCGAAGTAAACCGCGTCGCGGGGAAATAAGCAACTTACTCGGGTCTAGCATGGACATCCACTACCCCACGACTCAGATAAGCTTGGTCCATTGCAACATCATTGCGGGTCAATTTAAAGGGCAATCGGCCATGTGTTCCCCACATGGTCGGATCCGGTATGTGGCCATATATTGACGCATGCGGAAAGTGAGGCTGAATGCCATTGTCACATTACGCCCAGGAACATGAAACTCAAATCTAGACCCCTTGTGGGAGGTTCTCTGGACGTTAAAAACTGATTATAGAGCAATGTATTCATTAATATTAAAATGTGACCAGCTAGCCTCGAAAGACCCAAGTATGCTCGCCAGATATCCTCCATCATATTGTACAATCCAATCTAATCACAAACATAGCAGTGGTATCTTGGCTCTCAAATAACACAAAAGGGTCATGGAATCATTGTATAGTGCACGAGCACTAGATCACTCAGGATATGCTTGGAATATATCCTACACCAGCAACTTAGATGTTGCCAGTATACGCCGAGTTACCATAGCCATAGGCACCGGTTGCCGGTGTAGCAACCGGAGGATTGGCAGTGTTCTTATTCTTGCCCCAAGTGCTGAACCAACCCTTCTCGGTCTTAGTCTCGCCGTCCATCTCGAGGTCACGAGGGGTTGGGTGGCCAGGTAGGGCATCAGCGCCGCCGACGGCCTCAGGGCTGTTCTTATTACGGCGCCAGAAGGCCTTGCGGCTACCGTGGGTATAGCCGTTGGTGGGGGAGGGACCGAAACGCTTCTCACGCTTGTGGTGGCGGGCGAGAAGTATTTGGAAGAGGATGGAGGTCAAGAAGAAGAAGCTGGGCGATAAGTTAGCATACATGTAATCAGATCAAGATAACAGTATCAGCAATCTAGGATCAAACTCACATTCCGATAATCGCCACTGCAAAGACGACCTTTTCCAGTGTGCAAGCCATGCTGAATTTCAGAGACTTAGAAACAGTCTCATCATCAGCGTTGCCTGTGCCCATTGGCGTGTCCAGTGTTCCAGTGTTACAATTCCCAACACCGTCGCGAGTCAGGATGGCAATAGCAACCATCGCGCCGACGAAGCACACATCCAGGGCAACGCCTAGGAACGCAAAGAAGGCCACACCGCCTAAACAGCAGGTGAAAATGATGCCTAGCAGGCCATAGGCAGTTGCTGCGCCTGCTAAGCCTTCAACGGCCTTAATCCATGTGGGGATATGTTGGTCATTCCTGGACAAGACAGCCAGGAAGTAGGAGAAAATTCCAAGAATGACGGCGGCATCGAGGAACTGTAGAACACGCAGTCCTAGATTGAAAAAGCGGAGGACCACCCCACCGGCTCCCATATTGTATGATTATTTGTATAAAGATGATAGTAATTACCAGGAAGTCTAGGGAAGAATAAATGAAAAAAAAAAGTCAGGCAACAGGATTTGAACGACTTATAAAGGAGACCCAGGTTATTGACGATCTGTGGATGGCGTTGTATTGCATGTCGATCCGAGCAGAAGCTCTCAGCTTAATGGTCGACAGGGTCTGCGCCACACCCTAAACGACCCCAGACGGCCCCACTCAATGATGTCAATGGGTGTGGATTCTACATTACCCTTTCCGGTTAGAGAAGTCGCCACCATGTGAAGGAAAAAAAATAGAAAATTACATAATCTTGCATCAGCCACCTACACACACTGCCACAATTTCAACACTCTTTACAGGTTGCCTACCCTCAACACTTTACTACGATACTATACATAGGGGTATACTTAATATTTTTAATAGTGATAATTGTTTACTACAAGATAATACTAAATCTGTATACCTATGTATAGATCATTCATAGCAAACTATTCATGGATATTATTGCTGCCTATTTCTATATATTTCAGCCTGAACATCAACCGCGCTCGGCAGTCCTTAAACCCCTCACTCTGATGCCTGATGCGAGCTGTTCAAGGAGGTGTTCGGTTGAAAAAAGGGTTAGAAAGAGTTATACTAAAGTGAAACTAGCGCAGCTTGAGCAATACTGTAAAGTACATTTGTAGTTTAATATCCCTCCAACCATGATACAATTTTCATGTGCCGCTACATAGTATCATTTCATTCACTGACACTCTTGAAATTACCTGCGTAGTTTATGTGCCATTGGCCCTTGCAGCCCTGGAGGTGGATATATTGTACTGCTCTGATTATTCTATAAGTACCAAGTATGGCTGGAGTCCACATACAAAGTACCGCCACGTTGAAAATGACGTCTGCCTCCACCCAGTCCACTGGGTCTGGGTCTTTTGCGCCACGTCCACTTACTACAAACATTACAAACACAGGTACAATGGGGAAATATGTGATATTTAAACTGGGTCTACCACACATGGAATGGCATATTTTCATTGGTGAAATGGAATTTGTGGGGATAGTCAGAACGAGGTGCGGTCCAACAGGGATGAGATTGCAACAAATATTTGCCCATGTCCTAGGCTATGTTCCGGCATAACTCCAGGTTGGCGCGTATCACCAAAATAATTGCAAGGACATGGCGCTGCTGGCTGGATGAAGCACAGCTTTAGTCACGAGTGCATTTATCCACGGGTGATCCCAATATGAATATAAAAGAGCCTGGTATCGACATGGACAAGAGGGAGTCTTGATGGCAAAGGCATATCGCACTAATGAAGGCCGCAGGGTAGCATTAGTGCTGCAGTACAGACGCCGCTGGTTGGTACCCCTGTTGCCTACAAGGCTGTACAATTCGAGCGGGTTTCCTGGAGAAATGTGTCAAAGATGTGATCATCAACACAAGATGCCGACCTTGTCAATGGCCATGGATGTCCTATTAAAATCTCATGTTTCAACTCACATTTTAGTTTATTTGGGGATCCCAGGATTGAAGGTCATGTACGATCCCCGACAGTAGCCTGTGAGACTGCATGGTAGTGGACGGTGTGTTCTTATCGCAACTGGCTAACAGCCCACCCTTCAGGAGTCTTCCTGGCGTTGCTTTTCTTGTTCAACGAAAGCACGGAGAATTGAATCCAGTCCTTCGTTGCGGCGAGCGAGTAGCATTACATCGGACACATTGACGGTAGATCTCCCAGCGTGTCTATATCAGATGAGGTCAGTTCACTTTCTGTTAGATTTACCATCCCACAGGAAGAATAGGCATTATTTCCTACTCAATCGCAGCAATGGTTCCTACTTACTTCGCAAAGGATTCTAGATCTTGGCTAACCGTCTCTGCGAATAGTCAGTTACAAAGACAAAAAAAATTAGGAGCTTAACATAAAATAGTGAACATACCTATCTGAGCCCAAACCATCTCTGTCAATGCACCGATGAACTGCGGAGTGGCATTGACGCCTAACTTGATAGTCTCCTCATCCACGATCTTGCCGATGGACAACCATAGCGCGGATTTCAAGCGCTACAAAAGAAAGTTAGCCAGATATATGATAAGGCCATACCAAAACTGACCTCCTCCAGACTAGCCTCTTCAGTCTGCTCCATGGTGATGAGATAGTACGAGACAACAAGCTTCGGAGCGCGTCCCCATATAAAACCAACGACATCTGATTGGCCGACAACGCGTCGGCGGATTAACGGCTAATCCGGCACACAAACCACGCTAATCCCAAAGAGGCATATTTCTCGTTGCGGGAACCGCGGAATATCAAAGAAGCGCAAAGCGCAATCGCAGATCCTGCTAATTAATCCCTCAATTGTTGTTTCCAAAAAATCCCTACTCTGCCCTTAACTACCTCTGGTCGTTCCTCTTCCACAACCTTCCAACTCCGCGGGTAGCGACCGAGCTCCCACTCCTCCAACCCATCAACCAAATCAAACAAAAACTCCCAAAATCATCCATCATGTCCACGCCACAGTCAGATCTGAGCGAGCAGGCCGCCGCCGCCGCCGAGGACTTCTTCGGCCAACTCTACGCCTTCTTCGAGTTGATCGTCACCCGCTTCTTCAAAAACGGATATGCCTCCATCGCGCAGATGAGCGGCAAGCGCTGGACAAAAGTCATCGGCAGTGTGGTCTTCTACTTAATCGTCCGGCCATACATCGAGAAATTGTTTAAGTGGATGCACGATCGCGACCGCAAGAAGGAGAAGGAGAAGCGCGACAAGGAGAGAGCGAACTTCGGCAAGGTCAAGGTGTCACCGAACTCGCTGCGTGCTGGTGGCGATAGCGGAAAAGGGAAGGTCCTTGGTGAAGTCGATCACACAGATGATGAGCTGGAGGATGAGGAGGATGTTATGGCTGCTGCTAGTGGTGTTCCTGAGTGGAATGACATGGCCCGCAAGCGTCAGAAGAATTATATTAAGCGGGTGAAGAAGGATCAGCGCGCGGAGGATTTGAGTCGTGATCAGATTATGGAGTTGTTGGATTGGAGCGAGGAGGAGGAGGTTGATGAGAAGGTCAAGAAGGATCTATGAGGTTTGATTCTTCTTGGGTCTTGGGTGGTTCTTGTGTGTGCATTGCATGGTTGATGGGGTTTTTGCTTCCTGTATTTTTTAATAGTAGATTCCAAATTAATAGGACCTCCACGGCCCCTTTCGCTTTTTGAGTGAATTTTCTGAACTACTCCCAGAATCCGCTACTAAAAGATGTCTACGTTGCACAATACCGTATACTTGGAAGTCATAACATCTACTATTTGCACTTGAAATGCATCCAATCCAGTCATATCCGAGCCAGAACTTTTATCCTGAGCCCTTCTATAAACTATGTAGCCATCGCCCCATCTTATCCGTATTCATGAATATTTCGTAACGTATCGCCGATGCCCCCAAGAAAGAGGTTCCTCGTAAGATATCAGTGAAGCCTCCGCAAGGCCTCAATCATTCCCTTGACCTCCTCGACATCCGAGGAGCCTAGCTCATGCACAATCTCCTCTTGCATACTTGGTGTGCAGTTCAAAAACTCCTCAATAAGCTCGCCGTCCACGAACCGGTACGGTTCATCAGCGCTTCGAACCATAGTTTTGAAGCCGCGGAACTTATCGAACGACAAATTGCCCAATGACTTGACTTTGGTGGAAAGAATAGCTTGCAGGGTAATGAGGAAATCTTGATGTTCGGGGTTGATGACAGCGAAGAGGAAAATGGAGCCCTCAACCTTTGGATGGGTTAGCAAATGAACCTTTAATGCCGGTCAACCCGGTCGACTGGGATGAACTTACTGTTGCCATGAACGCCCGCGGTGTCACCGTAACGCTGGCAAGCTGTGGAATACTAACTGGTCGGATACGATTGACCATCTCCCCGAGCGAAATTTCGCTAGTAGGGATTAGTCTGTGCTTGTCCTGAGTGGTGACACCATTCATATTCCGCGAGAGAACGATAAGGTTTCCTTCGGCGTCGCTCTGGAGGAATGTCTCATCTCCGACGCAGGCAACTGCTGTGCTCCAGACGGTCTGATAGTGACGACCGACTTCAGTCAGCTTGGCAGGTTCCCCAGCATGACCCGGCGTGTACCGAACAAGGCAAAGGCTCTTCATGAGATCCGCCACCGCGATTAGGTTGTCGACGACTGTTACGTCGACTGGTGCGGTAGAGGTCCGATATGCAGCAAGCTTTTCGAGCTTCATTGGTCCAACGTTATTAACTTTGACTCTGTACACAACGACCTAGATGCTGTCAGTAGAGGATTCAAACATACAGCCGATTGGTACTCACGGTCTTCACAAGTGCCGCAACAACGCAATCACCCATCATAGCGAGAGCCCGACAGGCCCCCATAACCGGCAGCTCGGCGACTTGGCTCAGCTTGCGGCCGTGGTCGACTTCCAAAATGAGGATCCGCCCGCGGATCGATTCCTCTTGGTCTTCGTCTGCGAATGCCGTGCCGACAACAAATCGGTCCTTCATGATCTCTTTTCCATTTTCATCTTTCCCAGCCGGGAGCTCAGCGCGAACGACACTCTCCACCAGTTCGTCCGGGCCCAGTTCTAACGCATCAAGACGCCGGAACATGATCTCATCAGCAAGAACAAAGTGGCTCTTTACAACCTCAGCACCATTCTCGAGTTTGCGATCAATCGTGCCAATTCCAAATGCTTTTTCAGAAGGAGAGTATGCAACACGACGGACAGTCGAGCCCATTGGTAACGTTTGAATTTGGGTTGTTCGCTCTCTGTCAACCAGCGCGATCTTCAGCTCTTTCTCGGTTGCCACAGCGATGGAATCTGGGAATGCCTCTGCGTTCAAATGACACACCCGTGAGGCGCCCTCGGAGTTCACTGCAGAGTAGATGATCCGGCCATCAGAGCCGTAGATGAGGCTAGGATTCTCACAGGTAGCAAAGACGTTGTATAGGCCATCACCCTTGGGGAGTTTCTTGAATGTAGGTTGTTCGGAACCAAGAATCAGCTTGTTCATCTTACTTAGCGAGTAGTCTTGTGGGTTTAGTGAAAACGTAATGACACAGCCATCAGCCATAGAGATAAAGAGGGTAGGCTCGCTGTCTGCAAGCACTTCGGCCACAACAACTGATCGAGGGAAGCTCTCCCCAGTAGGGCCTAGGGATTTTGTCTGAAGGACAGCGAAGTCATTAATAGCCATGATTGACACCCTCGCCGACTGTGGGAAGCCTGCGATGAAAACTCCTGTAGGCGTTGATGGGACGGTCAGGCCAGAGATTTGCTGGTCGGCGCCGAGATCCTTCTGAGTTATGATCTGGACATTGTCCCTGATATCGAAGGATGCGACGATTTGGCCACTGATAACGAGAACCAGATGGTCATCATTGGCCGACACGGCAGTGATCAACTTCTGGTCCTGAGGCGCCCATTCGAACGTCACCATTCCGCTCTCTAAATCAGCCACTAGCACTCGCTGTTCTGTGACCTGGAGAATACGGTCATCCTGGATTCTTGTGACGAGAAGAGTACATTCCGTGAGTGAAAGACCCAGGAAGTTATCCAACTCTTCAACTTCACCATCAGGACTAAACTGGAACACACGCGTTTCATCAACAAATGTAACGACAAGCGTATCCAGGTAGTCATTTTTGCTTTGGGTTTGCAGTCCCCAGAGATCAGTGATATGCTCCATTTCTCCTAATACGCCTAACTCTTCCATGCCAACACCACTCCGCACACTGCGTAACGTCCCGTCATCAAAAGCGCCCGATCCCGTCACAATTCGAGCCTGCCCGGACGAAAACTCGTGCGTTTGGCTCTCATTTGTACGGTTCCCAAGATCCATAATAGTGAAGTCGAGGATCGGTGCGATGTTAGACAATGTCTGGATGACCTCAAACGAGCTTCCATCAAGTCTAATGACCTGCGAGTCGCCGTGATGCGAGCCAACAAACAACATGCCTCCACCGAGATAAATCAGCACCGATGCACGAGCCGTCTTGCCCAGGTACTCGAGCTTCCAGTCATCGATTTCGCCCAAGTTATTTAGAATGAAAGACAAGAAGAATAACCTCCCATAGTCATCGGCCAACAGCCACCGCTGGCTATCAACCTTCTCCCAGGCTACAAAGACCGTTGCCTCGTCAAGATTCCGCGTGATCACATCATTAGCGTTATCATCGATGTACTTGATCGATGTCTCCCCAAGCACAATGAGACCGCCCAATGGAGCCGGGATAGGGATAAGATGCGATGACCCAAGATCAAGCTCCTGCCCGAATTCACCTCCCTCCAACTTCTGCACCTCCTTGAAAGTAGCATCTGCCAAAGTCCCCGAGGTGCCGGGCGTGAAATCCAACTCACGGATTCGAAGTCGCACCTTCTGCTGATTATCTTCATAGAGCAGTGCAAGCCAGGGATTGGATTCCGAATGCAAAAATGCCGAGGATCGAACGAAAAGCTCGTCGATGCGGGATGTAGTCGGCTTATCAAGCTCTCCAACCTGTAGCGGCATGTCAGTCTGAGACCCAGCCATCGACATTCGGCCTCGCTTCTTCGTCGGTTGCACGATCGGCACGACAACTATCACACCCTCGTATACTTCCAGTGTCATGAACCGCCCCGTGGGGTCGATCAGACATCGCGGTGCGCATTGGGACTCCCGAGATGAGGGCTCGGCGATGTCGACGCAGGTGCGTGCTGTTTTAATCTCGTTTGATTCGCGGTCCCATGTTATCGTAAAATAGTTGTATCGGTCCGTCCCGACGAAGAGGTGGTCGGTTGGCGAATTAGTTGGTGCTGGCAGGCGCGCGAGCATAGTGACCCGCGCGTTCAGAGCGCGGGTCGTGGTCAGGACGAGTCCATCTGGCGTGAGCGTGTAGAATTCGAGACGACTGGATTTTCTGTGGGTTCGTGGGAGGGTTAGCTATCGTGCTCGTCGTCACCGAGTGAGAGGTCGGCTTGGGTTCCGCGGCTTCACGGGAGGATGAGACTCACGCTGCCACTAGGCAATCTTCGTCTGGAGAAAAGAAGTTTAGCTTCACTGCATGGTGAATGCTGCTTGCCCGATGAATGGGCACGACATAAGCCATCGTAGTTCAACAACCCGCGGTATCTGACAGCACGGAGCTGGTTGGGCTTGAGGTTCGGCGCACCACCTTACGGGGATAGGATACGTCCGAGAGTAAGAGGTCCAGGGGATTGAGATGGCGAAGACTGATAGCGCTGAATTATGGACTGCACATATCTCCAAATTAACTCTGTTAAGGGCAGGGATTGCTCGGTCGGTGTGGGGGAATATGAGAGAAGTCGAGGTTTCAAATGACGTCTAAAGTCCGCGCTTACAGCCGAAAACATCCAGGAGGGCATACTTCCAATTGCATAGATATTTACATACATGAAACATAAGATTACTTTCAATTGGAAGCCGGAAAAAAATTAAATTCCTTTTAAAATCACAAGTCTAAAGTCATACACCGCTCAGGCGGCAGTCCATGGCTAGCAAGGTGAAGGCCTGCCTCAACATGAGGCCAATGCTAGGGAAACATGCAGCACAAATGAAACAAAAGGCCGATCGTATCGAACAAAATGATAATATATAGGCAAAACCATCTAAGCATGGTAGAAGTGCAAAGAAGTGTTCATCAATCATGAGATCATGACCAGACGTCCTCCTGGTAGCTGCCGCTGCTACGCATGTGCTTGACCATCTCCTCACCCTTCTCAGCGGGCAAACCCCGTTGCTGGGCAATAATGTGGCCAAGGACCAGGTTGACCTCACGGGCCATGTTGGCAGCATCACCGCAGACGTAGAAGTTGGCCTTTTGCTTGAGCAGGTCGCTGACGAGCTCGGCATTCTCCTTCAAACGATGCTGGACGTAAACCTTCTCGGATCCTTCACGGGAGAAAGCAGTAATAATCTTCAGGGAGTCGCCCATCTGGTCTTGGAAGGTCTAAGGGAATCATGTCAGTGTGAAGGTTCGGATTCCAAGTGTGAGAGAGTTGATTTCATACCTTGAATTCATCCTTGTAGATGAAGTCCTCATCACTCTTACGGCATCCAAAGAACAAAAC